CCCCCCCCCCCCCCCTCCCGAATCTCTGCGGACACCGTTCATATAGTGGCATGCGCATAATAGATTAGTAGATTTCTACTTCTAGTGACCTTAGAAACTAGGTATGGAACATATTCAGGTTTTTGTTATAGTAACGTTTTAGTTAAGTTTAACTTGGACGAAATACGGGCTTAAAGAATTGTACTAATTTATAACTAGTGAAAGTAGCTATTAATCAAAGGACCAACACCCAAACCCAATATAGAGTTACATTTCACATGCTGAGACGTCAAAAAAGAAAAAAATTAAATTGAAAGAATTCTAAGTTGAATTCCTTTTTTTTAATGCGTATGGAACAAAAATTCAGGGCTGTCTCAATTTTAATTTAACTTTTAATTTCACCATGTCTTTACATTATGTAAGGAGCCCCAAATGTTGTGTTCGTATGTTCCAGTAACGTATGGTAACGTATGTTCCAGGTCATTTAATTTTGATTTTTATATTGCGTTCCGATATGTTTTGTAGTGATACAGTCATGGTAAATTATACATGACGTAAGGATGTTTTTTTTAAATAAATATTTAAACTGTATTTTTAAAGTAAGTAAAACTTTTCACAACTGGAGGTTTTGCATTTAAGGTAGTAATGTATGTTCTTTTTTTTTTTTTGGGGGGGGGGCTAGGCGCTGAATAACTTTTTATTATACCAGGGGAATAAAAGTTTGATACAAAATTCTTCATGTGGGGTCCTATAATTAACAAACATAGTTTGCACTCTGTGCACTAAATATATTTAAGAACATGCCTGTGACCTCATTTGCACCTCTATATTGGATTAATTGCCAACTTACTTTCCATGTAGTACTATCCCGAATGCTATCCAATGTCGTCAACAAAGTTAATATCAGTGATTAGTTATCTGATAACTATGGGGCAGATATTGCTAGAGGGTTGATAATATTCTTGTACGTGTGTATGTTCTAACACTGCACACAGTTGGAAGCGGGACGCAACGATGATAGCGGTGAACTGACGTTATACGAAGAAAATGGCAGTCTCCGTTCTCAGGTACTGGTCCTTTTAAGAATTTTAAAATTTTAGAATTTCACGTCAAAATCAATTTCTCGAATTTTAAAGATTCAGCACTAAATCCGTACACTAGAGATATGTTTTAATCGATCACCGCCTTTAAAAAAGTATAAAAACAATTTATTAGTAAAAAAAAGCTTTTTAGTTAACCTCACCTCAATTTGCAAAAATAAAGCAACAGATCTGGGTCACGTGGTACTGTGACGACAAAGATGATAAAGGTCTTTGACACTCAGCTGAGCTGCATGCTGAATACAGACAGAGAAATTTAGGAAAGTTGTGTTGAACGGGGTTGGGCTATTTTCGTTATGCCTCAGCAGTCTGCGACGTTAGGCACTAGCCCGAGGCAATTGCCCACCTAAAGTGGCACCGGGCTAGTAAAAAAGTTGAAATTTTATAAAGCACTAGCCCGAACGGGCTAGTTGAAATGTTGAGCCTATTGTAACACTCAGTAAGATTTCAAAAATATAAGTCGCCAGTCTTTTTTGTTCCTGCCTCTAATTTGACGTTTCTAGATAGTATAATATACCTCTCAGTTGAAAAAAACTCACACCTAGCTCTAACTACTGAATATTGATTAGTTGCTATAAATACCTTCACTGTAGTTATTTATAGCAGCAGTCTGTCTGATCAGCGTGTCGGCATCTTTTTATTTGACCAGTTTGTTAAATTGCTGTCAATCAAGAAACTGGATCAGACCGGAATTCCTTGGTACTAGCAACAGGTTTTGTCAAAACAACACTGTCTCCGAAGCAAGTGTAATGAATGCATTATCTCATACATGTAGAACATTTGGGTTAGGACCACTTAGCAGACTGAGGGGTGTAGTATTCTATTTCCTTTTTTGTTTATATTTTTTATTTATAATTTTAATAGTCACAGGTTTATACATTTTCCTTTGCTTATTGCCTTTTAAAAACAATAAGACCCTGGCAGTTACATGTAACATAAATACCCTATAAACTATTCTTGACAATGTGGGATAGTTCGGTTTATGCCATGGCTACCCCTCCACACTTTGTCCTGGTAAAGTCCTTGAAAAGTTGTTTTTACAAATATATAACCAAAAGAATTGTAACCAAAAAAATTGCAAGACGTTTGTTTAATTACCCTTACAGCACCTATGTATTTTAAATTAGAAGTGGCATTTTATACCGATGTAATTGGAAATAAATTGTCAGAAAAGAGCCATTGTCAATAAAAAGAATAGGAATTTAAAATAAATTTTGATTGCATATAAAAAATGGAAATAAAGGTATTATAAAAATATGAAAAGTAAGGGTAACTATATTCAGTATTACATATTAAAAAAGGGAATTTTTTCAATATTAAATAATTAAATATATTTTAAATCAATTTTACCACCCCATCAACTGAAAATTAACCTGATTGACTTTGTTATTCACTTGCTCTACTTCTATAATAAGGTTTACAAGAAAGTACAGTATGGTACCACAACTCTTTACAACATCTGCTTAAACTTTTAAGATGAATTGTTTAAATTGGGCTAGTGTTTTTTGGTTTGGGCTAGTAAAGTTTGAGAGTCTGCTAGCCCGAAGGGCTAGTAGTCTAAAAAGTTTTTGGCACAGACTGCCTCAGTGTGTTGCCGTGGGATTCACCCAAAAAGCAGCATTCGTTGACAATCTTCTTTCTTTGGCTGTGACGGCCTTCCGTGACTTATTTACTAACTTCGTTTACAATAGATATGATGCTCGAGATTATGGTCGCCTCAGTTGGTTAAGATCATATCAAAAGCTGATAGTCTTTCAACTTAACTGTCATCAGTTGACAAGCTTACTAATTGCTGATGCATTTTAAGTGCATGGTACTTGACCAAGAGCTCGTTAACAATAAATCCTGTTTATTGCGCACCGCCGCACTTCCCAAGCCAGGTAATAACAGGTAACTCGACCTGTCTGATTATTGATTGGCTTTAATATTTTTTCAATATATCTCTTTTATTTCATAGGGTAATGTTATTGGTATTTTTATATGACGTTTAATATTGATATTTAAACAAGTGAGTGCAAACACGGTCGCGAACATAAATGTAAGTGATTGCTCTCAGGGTATCTTGAAGCATTGCGTAGTATACCCAGGCATTACTTCTGTGGAAGAAACCGCGGTTGAGGAAGAACTAGAATAAGAGCGGTTATATTAAAGAAAAAAGAATGGGAACTGCTGTAATGATTCGTAATCTTACTTCGTTTAACAAAATAAAGCGTTGTGTGCTTTGAGAATTTGTTTCTGAAGGGTATTTCAACTAAAATATTAGGTAATTAAAAAAAATTATTTGAAACGCAAGTTCTGCGCCTGCACGCAAAACTTTTTGCAAATGTGCAAGTTTTGCCAAACCTAAAAACATATAGCAGAACAAGGTAAAAAAAAGCATTGTTTGCTATTAGTAGCATGTTAAAAATCATAACTTTTAATGTGTTCACTAAATGTGCAGTATTTGATACGCACGTTAGTATATTTTAAATTATGCATGGAAGTTTTTTAAAACATGGTAAGGGATATTCAAAAGGCACATACGGATTTTTTAAAAGAATGTTGGGTGAAAAAGGAGCACTAGTGATAACTTAGTGATAACTAGTGATAACTTCATTGTACATAACTAAGTATAATGTGAAACCGGGAGATACCCACTTCTTTTAAATATAAAGCTACGTTTTTTTTTAATATTGATTTAAATCCGCTCCTCGAAAAATTGTATTATAACAGCGTGCTATAAAGATCTACTTAACAAAAAATTTTGATTGGGTAATTTGAGTACGGAATGAACTGGAGACAATTGCCTTGTTATTAATTTTTCACGAAAATATGTCTGATAATTTGATACCATCCTTGATAGAGTAAAGATTGAAATATAATTTTAGACAAACATTGACTGGAGAAATATCCACAAGGAGTAAAGAGCTATTATTACCAACATCTTGTTAATAATTTTACAGTGAAATTCTATTTAAATAAGCCAGTTTGACAGAAATATGAGGAATTTTAATTAAATTCAATTGAAATTGCCAAATTTAGACTTTCATCACATAATCTAGCTGTAGAAACTGGAAGGTAAACAGACACAAATAAGAATTAAGAACCTGTAAACTATGTATTTTAGATGACATCGAGGATGAATTTCATTTTATTCTTTTAAGAATTTAAAAATGTCTTTGCTACAGAACGATTAGGCAGAAGTACATCAAAAAATTTATTACACAATGCAAAGTGTTTTCAAGCTAATTAAATTGTTATCACTTAACAATGTTTCACAATTAAACAACTTATGAAAGTACTTAAAATGTGTATCGGAGATAAGATTAACGTCAGTCTGATGAGTTTTTATCATTACTACTTGTAGTTGTATTATTGTTGTTTTTATGACTTTATATTTTTATTGCATTTCATTCTGATGAGCCGTAGGGCGCAAGGGTTTAATAAATTGAATTTCACAAGTAACATTGACCTCATATCGAATGTTCAAAAGTACCCTCAAGTCATTCGAATGCAGTAATTTATACCAGTTGGGATTACCGTAATTAAACACTAGTTAAAGAACTGAATAGACGGGAAAATGACTTCACACGGATTGAAACCCCTCGGGTAAGAGATTTAAATGAGTATGAACTTTTATCAGGAGTCAGAAAGGTCATCTTACAGGTAGACAATGCAGCTCAGTTTAACAGCTAAACACGCTGCTTGGCGTGTACCCTTTTCGACTTTTCCTGCGGTGGCACGATTGACGTCACCGGACCACGTGACCACGTAGCTCATTAACTCCCAGGCCGAGCAAAAATGACGTTTTTTTTAAGCCCAAAATTTACAATATGAGCTTTTAATTAGTGTATTTGGATAAATATATCGTTAGTTGGGCATGTTTTCTGAAGAATATGCTCCGTTCAGGCCATTCCGACGATCAGACGAGAAACCTCTCTCTCTCTCCATCCTTCTCTCACACACGCGCGCGCTTGCACACACACACAAACAATCATACAAAGCATCTGAAATGTAAAAATCAGTTTTGCTCCTGATTTTATTCAGTTTTTATTGTACTGTATATAAAATCAGAATTTAAATCGCTTATTTGGCGTACGATTTTAATGAAATACACAAATACAAATACAAAATAAAAATTTATTTTTCAGCGTGTTGCTGTTGCTCTTCCGAAAGGTGCACCATCTGTTAGTTGTTATCGCCCTCGTGCAGCAGGTGTCTACGTCGTGTCCCCCCGTCCCCGCGTGCGAGACGTGCTACCGGGAACCTGGCGATTGGAAAGACGAGCAGACGACACCTTGGATTTATGAATGTCCAAACGCTGCACAACTCACCAAGGGTGTCATATGTCACGATTTTCAGCACCTCCGTGTGCCGGTGAGTCATCTGGATCTCCGCCATTACAACTTCAGGGAAACTAATCTGTGCACAACTTTGGAACACAGTTTGAAGTTTTGCAACTTTCCGACCAGCGCCATCAAATCGATCGATCTCTCCTATTCGAGATTCATGTATAAATGTTCTACAGAGCTGTTTGGGTTTCTGTACTCCGTAATGAACTCCGTGGAGGTTCTGCGTCTTCACTCCCTCACATACTTGCTCCCAGTTCTGCCCATAGAAGCGGCTTCGGCAAGTCTCCGATTTACACGTCTACGAGAGTTGGACCTCAGCTCCAACGACTACACGGAGAAGTCAGTTGAAAGGGGAATCGGGAACCATAAATGGGATTCTCTGGAAGTTTTGAACTTTGACGACAACAATGCCCAGGGAATACCTAAAGAGTTTAGACCATTGCCACTGAAACACCTGTCCATGGCCAATAACCAAATCCAGATGAGTATAGCCAGCAGTGACGTTAATCGGACCCAAGCTACCATCGACTCCTTGAAATACCTGCCACGTACGCTGGAGTCCCTGGATCTGAGCGGAAATACCATAAACTTCTTCCCCAGCGCCTTGGCACAATTCTCTCAGCTCAAAACCCTTCGACTGAGCGCGGTGAAGTTAAGTCGTCGCATCGACATTGCTTCGGCGGATGGGTTAGAACACTTGGAATTTCTGGACCTTAGTGGCAACCTCTTAAGCCAGGTCACCCTCGGAAACTTTCTCCATGACCTGCATGATTTAAAAGTTCTGAACCTCAGTAAGAATTTTTTCGACAGTTGGCCCTTGGACCTGGATCATTTGCCCGAGCTGCGGCAACTCCACCTGCAGCATAACACTTTAACCACGTTGATGCCCTTTGCCTTACAGAGCTGTGACAAACTAAGTCACCTAGATGTCAGCAACAATAAAATTCTCATCATCTCAGAACCCGGCTTTCACGGGATTGAGAAAAGCCTGCAGGTTCTGCGCCTGAACAACAACAAGATAAGAACCTTAGACAAGTGCACGTTTAAGAGGCTCTCGGCTCTACGGCAACTCACGGTAAGCGGAAACCCTCTCCATTGCGACTGTTCTCTTGCTTGGATACAGCATGTGTCGCAGAAATCCATCTTCACAGTCTTCGACATCAGCAAAGCAATTTGCCACTCGCCAATAAGGTTTAAGGGGATGGCAATTGGGGATTTCCCCACAGATGAATGCTCCAAAGAGGAATTGGCTTTCGAAGGTTGCCCCCGCGTTGATTCTGTGCCCCCAAACTACAGTAATCAAGCTGGCAATGGAACATCTCCCAATTTTGAAGACCCTTGGCACATTGTTGTCACGGTGTCCCTGATAATGGCGGCCATTAACTCGATTCTTGTTTTTGTTATCTTCACTTGTAATCGACGACAACGCCGTAGCGTTACCGCCTTATTAAGCGGGGAAGAAGCATTAACAGAAAATCCTTACACATCGTTGAAACGTATGTCAAAGTTGTCAGCAAAACCCACGGACAAGCCGGCTAAAGGCTACACCGGACTCAAATGGGGCGTGAGGGAGTCTGCTCCCAGTCAGCAAACCGCGCCTAAAGTTGCCTGCAACAAGATGGCGCCACCTTACACCGTCACTTTCCAAAAAGGCCCCGAATCTGATGAATATGAAGATACTACTTATACAAAGCCTGCGGCAGGTGGCGCGACTGCTCAAATCCAACACGCACCAATGAAAATTGAACAAGCCATTGGGCACGGCCTGAAGGGCGATGCCAACATGGGCGCTGCTATGCAAGCTGAGCCAAGACCTTCCGCCGATGACTATATCTCGTTTGATAAGAGCGGCCAACAAGGAGATACGTACTGCGATGCCGGGGAGCCGGAGGCTTATTACAACACTGGAAAGAAGAAAGCCTACATCCAGCCAATCATCTACGACGACAGCAAGGGGTAAATTCAGGAGGGGTCGTAGCAATAGAAGTTTCATTGGTCCGAAAGTCTGATAGCGTGAATAAATGTCTAATTAAGGTGTATAGTGTACTGGCAATAATAAAATGAAGTTCATCAGGCCCGTAGCCAGCAATTTCAAAAGGGGGGTTCTTTTTCTGGAAAAGTGGACCTTTTTCCATAAAAACTTCATGTACCTAGATCAAATTTTACCCAGAGTGGACCTTTTCCAAGAAAAAGGGGCGGTTCTTTCGAACCCCCTGAACCCCCCCTGGCTACGGGCCTGTTCATCAGAGGCGCGCGCATAACGGTTTTCAGACCAGGGAATTATATCGGATATAATTCCCTGTTCGGACCAATGAACCTTCGAACAGCTCCCAGTCAAACGACCACCTCAGGGGTGAAGATAACATGTGGTATCAGGACCTCTATCATAGTGCACAGAATTTAAGGGACAAAACTGTTCATTTTTGCCAAAATGGATTTTCCTGGGGTAATCGAAAATTTTCCCATACTTACCAACGGTCAATGAATCTGTTCTGACATCCAGATTAGTCTCTTTTTCCCTTAAAAGTTTGGTTTTAAGAGATTATTATGTACAGAAGGTGGCCATCTATGGAGGTCACGTGCTCCTATGGCAAACATAGCTTCCAGAATAATTGCGATGACCGCCGTTTTGGTGGTAAAATAGAATTAATTATATATCTGAATTGTTTTCAATGTATTTGTAGTGAAATATGGATTTCATTCAAAGAGTTGCTATCCCCTTAAAGTAGGTAATTTTGTCACAGATGAATGTTCATACGTTTTTGATCATTATGTTAAGAAAACTATCAGCAGTTTAAAAAAAGAGATCACTTTTTTTGCTAAAAAAAACTCATGTTAGAGCGAGATGTTTTCTTTATTTTTTGTTCTTCTCCTCACAATTCAGAATAAATAAAAATATCCATCTATCTACAGTAAGTCTGTTTGGAACTCTCAAATATGTCTTTTTTATTTTGTTTTTCTGTCGCTCTTCATAAAAATTCATTTATTTATTTATTACTTTGGGCGAAATATTATTGGAAATTCGTCGTCTTTTTGCCTGCCAACTCGGCCAAACGGGTCTATATATCGAAAACATGGATTTGTCCTCTTTCTCTTTCTTATACACAAGTTAGTGTTCCATTGAATTTATCATTGAAGTCGCCACATACATGTAGTCTTTCAATGACAATGAGAGAACAACTTGCGTTAGGCCAAATGATATCCATCATTAAAGAGAGAGGTTTGAACTTTGATAAGTGACCGAGCTCTTCTTATGAATAATTGAATGTTTATCACCTTTATAAAAAGCAAATGCCATCTGTTATAAATGTAAAACCGAAAGGAAAAATTAAGAAATCCCAATTACGTATGGAGGAAACAGAATAACGATATTTCTTTATATGCGGTTACCTGTATCTAGGCCATTTTCTATTATCCAACGTGACGAGGTGGCCGAGTGGTTAAGGCGATGGACTGCTAATCCATTGGGGTCTCCCCGCGTGAGTTCGAATCTCATCCTCGTCGAATCTTGTTTTGGTCACAGTTTTTAACATTTTTCTCCATGTGGCAAGTTAAATTAGGATGTATCAAACAAAATTACACGTATTCTAGTAAATAAAGGAAGGTAGAATCGAATACGAAAGGATACCTATGCATATATGCATATATGTATATATATGACCAACGCGTCACAATGCAGCAAAGTCCTAAACGTGAGGCTTCTCTCACTAAAAATAATAACGTTTATACCAGAATTTTGTTCTTATTCAAATCAGGGTGTCGTACCACAACAAGAACGTGTGCCAAAATCGGTACATCTGGTGATTAACAAAAATAAAAAGCAGCAAAACTTGAGATTGCTAAGCAATGATTTATTTCAAACCGTATTTAAATTCTACATAAATGAATCAAGAAGAAATCGTTGAGGTTTAAAGAACGATGGCCGTGTGGCGTGGGGGGTGATGCTAATGTTACGTCAGGCAAATACGTTATCATGCAACAGGCGCCATACTGAAAACATTGAGATCAAAACAATTTTTGAGCGATATATGTATAAACTGTATGATTCTTATACACACCTGCCCGAAAGAAAATTTTGAAAATTATGTCACCGACGGAGTCTGCTGGTCCAAATAACAGTTTAACTGTCGAATTATTACAAGAAACTGAGAGTGACGGCTTACAATAAAACACTAAGTACTTTACTACTTCTTCAAACACGTAAAAGGTATGCCTGTACTCTCCATATACGGGCTTTATCCTCTCTGCTATGAAGGACTCTCTGCCACGTTACACCGGCCTCACGCCGCTTCCACGTCACCCATTCCCGTCATCCCCTTGGGTTCCATCATGGCCGCGACCGACTCTGCGGCGATCATGGAGCGCCACTCCCTCCGCCACTTCCGTCATCACTTCCTTCATCACTTCCCTCGTTGATGGTGGAAAGGCGTGGGTATGCGATGAAATCGTCGTCATTCATCAGATCGTCCTGTGGCAAGAACGTGGCCACGGTGGAACCGGAACTTTCGTGAACGTTACTGCTGTTGACAACACGTGGCTTACCAAACTTTCGTCTGACCTGAGGGTGACAGCACGGACGACCTTGGGGCAAAAGAGAAGAATTTTTTTTATTCTTATTGATTTTAAACAATATGTAACGATTCAATGCAAAATTCAATTAGATATCGAAGAGAAAAGGCAATGTTGCATTACATATCGCAATTTTTTATTCCATAGCGGAACAAAAGGTTTGTTGTAAGATAGCACAGTACATTATGGCATTCAAAAGCCCCCCTCCCCCTGTTTAATAATATGGACTAAAGAGGTATAGTAACATAAGATAGCCTACCATACTGATATCCATATGTTGGAAAATCGCTTGGGTTTTGTGTGTGTTTCGGATCCAGAGAAGTTGGAACAACTTCGGGGATGTAACCGTTTTGCTCCCCCCCTGTTAAATAATAATAATAATAATAATAATAATAATAATAATAATAATTTGAATGGACAAACCAAGACCAAGCCGTGGGGGAGAGAAGGGGGGTGATAAGCATTAGGACAAACGTGTTAGCTGACGCGATCTTACCAAGAAAAAGAATAATTTCGGTTCAGTGGGTCACGAAAGATATTCCCATGAAGCAAAAATCACAAAACCTGCAATAACACTGGAAAAACCATTTACCGAAATTGAATTGCACAATATGTGAACCCTGTATATACATTACCGTTAATACAACAAGAGCAGCTGTGTCCATTCCTTCCTCTCCGTCCTCTTCCAGGTCCTCCGCCGGGGCTGTAGCGAAGCGGCGGGTAAAATACACGTGGTCGTTACCATGGCACCGCAGCGGTAGCACAGGCAGGTAGCGCCCATCTGGGCCCAGCCTCTGAAAATGTCCCAATTTGATAACTTAGAATGTGGATTGTGATTATTATCATCGACATCTTCACTTTGATGCCGCAGGCCGTAGCCAGCATTTTACAAAAAAAAAAAAAAGTGAACCTTTTACAATGAAAGCTTTGTGTATCTAGATCAAATATTGTCCAGAATGAACCTTTTCTTTTGAACCCCACGAGCCTACGGGCCTGGGTGGGATACATAATGGCATGAATAGGTAAATAAACACGCAGGCACAAGAATATGGAGCACAAAGAAGCATCACATGAGTGACAAGGTTGTTCGTTCCCACCACATAAACTGTTGGTGTAAAGAACCTGAGAGAGAGAGAGAGAGAGAGAGAGAATTAAATAAAAAAAGGCGGCCATACACTGAAAACCTGTTTCATAAAACTCACTTAAAATTATGTCCACACTCGCAAAGGAATTCTGCATAGCCCCACTCTTCATCTCTTGGTAAAGCATCGAATTTTACTTTACAGCGATAACACTTTGAAACCTACAAAAATAATTTTGTCATTTGAGAAATAATACAAGATTAGTTCTGGTGGGTTATTAATCAAAGTATTTTTCTTGTTTTTTTCTGCATAATCATTTTAATCCTAAACTATTTCTATCAGAGCAGACTATCTACAAGCAAGCTGAGGCCCAGCATAACGAATGGGGGCGGTTTGATCTCGCTGGAAGGAAACTTACTAGTTTTCTTGCAGGGACTCGTCTCCACCAGGAGTGGTCACAGGCTTGGCACGCGAATTGTCTGATCTCTACAGAGATGCGTCCTTCTTTAGCCTCTCTTGTCCGAGGAATAACCTCGATCTGCAAGTATTTAGACGTGTTTTAATAGTTTGCATGTGTGAGGGAAGGGGGGGGGCATGCGTGTACGTGAGGGAGAGAAAGAGAGAGAGAGAATGTGCGGTTGTGAAAGGAAGGCAAGTGACGGAGAAAAGAGAGATGGATAGACCTGAATAACAGGAAACATATATGTTTGTAAATGAGGCATAGAAGAGGGTCGCTTCCCCCCCCTCTCTCTCTCTCTCTCACACACACACACACACACGCGCGCGCGCGCGGGCGCGCGCGCACATAAAATACAAAAAAACATCAATGAATAACCGAAATAAATATCTTTTGCCGAGTTAATCTGTGAAACACTATTCATTTACCCAGCTTTTGGCCTTTTCTCGTATTTCCCGTCTCAAATCCTCAGACGTTGCTAAAAACAAAAATAGAAAATCGAATACATGAATGAAACAGAACTATTTTGTTAATTAAAACTTAGTGCATTTTCAAAATTAATTTGTTCGTTTTGATTGGCCTGTGCTTTTGATCCGAGTGTTTGCTGCTTTTAAAAAATCATCGAAATGATCAACGTTATAGCCTATTAGATAGACAAACTGATAATAACATAAAAACAATCATTATTGACTAGATATCATTCCGTTTACAAGTATAGGTCTCCACTCACTTTCCAATACATAAGAGGCCGCCTTTCTAATATCGAAATCAAATTTCTGAACAAGATATCCAGCTTCGTTTTCAGTGAAACGTCCTCGAAAAAGTTCGCGGAATGCATTGAACTGAAATCAAAACATGTATCATACGTGAGAATGAAAAAGTCAATTTATTACACGAATTAAATAACATATTGTTTTTATATGTAGTATTATCATTTGTGTGATTTGAGTGATTTAACACCAAACTTACACACAGGACTTCTTGTTTTATACCTGATGACATTTTCTCATGGGATTTATTCTAATGACACATCGCAGGCCCGTAGCCAGCAAATTCGAAAGGGGGGGGGGGTTCTTTTTCTGAAAAAGTGGACCTTTTAAAATAAAACTTATGTGTACCTAGATNTGAGGGCAAGTGCTAGATGTTTTCATGCTACAAGCACAAGCTGGCTTTAAAAAAAAAATAATAATGTTAAATAAAGCCAAGGACGCCAGCATTGTTGTCACAGCTCTATAGCCTATATATATACTGTGCAGTTGACCTGGTATAGTTCAAATTTATATCAACGTGCTCGTTTAGCCTTCACCTTGGGAGGGCGATAAGGTTTTAAATATGTGTTTATTTGCCGTGTTCAGACGAAGGACAAGTCGATACCCGTGAGTGAAGAACATCTGGCGCAGAATATGGCTGATGTTGAAGAGGACGCCGAAAAAAAGGTACATTTGTTCTCCATTAAGAGATCCGGGATTTTGTGTGTGCATGGGAGGGGGGGGGGGGGCACAAAGATATTCAAAGCAATTTAAGTTACAGTACATCTTTTGCAATAACGGTGTTCGGCGCTCAGAGGGGTCCCCTGATATACAACCCCTGCGAAAATTTTCTCATTTAACGCTCACGACATTCATCAATCTTTCTTTGCTAGGCAAATACTAACAGCAGCTGCGATAATGAAGCCTAGATGATTCGGTTGGGGGCGGGTGTGGTAGGGGGTGTTGTTAAATGATCTTGGATTTCTTAAGTTGCTTGTTTTAGGTCTCCTCTTGAAACAAGGATTTGGACTAGCTGAATCATAGTTGTTAACCGTACCAAGAGACACCGCCTGCCCTCTAAAATACCAAAAATGATAGCAAAAAAATGATCGTCTTTAACCCTTCGTTACATCACTGCCCAGCAATATGTGGATGGTATAATTGGGCAAATGTCGTAAACTATGCTTATTGTCATCAAACTCTCTCTGTGCCAGCCTAGTTATAGTGGAAAACGAGCTACGACCGACATAGGGCCTACACCACCTACACTGTACTGGCAGGCGTAAATTTGAATGTTAGTGCTAGGTATCGTTTTGTTGGTGCTAAATAATTGTAGGCCCTACGGTGTGTTGGTTAATTCGTGGGTTTAGTGGCTAATATGGACGTTGAGATCTGGAGGTAGTCTTAGTAAACGCCTAATTCGTTTATTAGGCCTTATATAGGCTTATATAGGAGAAACAAACATTCCAACAGCCCAGCAGTTTAATTCATGCCCTTTTTCTTCACAGCAGAAAATCTTGTCATGAATTAGCACTGATCATACGCTAGCATCACACTACAAGTATTTTATACGTGACTAAGATTTAGATAGGGGGCCTATTAATTATGCAAGAGCCATTTTCTACTATGTGAAACAAACCTTCATATTTATAGCAAGTATTTATACATCACAAAGTGGAAGATATAGCACAATTTCTTTTGTCAAAAGTGAGGTTAATGAATTTAACCAAACATATTATCACCGTCTCTTGTTCATTCTGAAGAAGAATTTATCTTTGTTGTTTAAATTTGTAAAATATGTATGGGCGCTTTGTACTATTTGAAATAGTTTATTTCTATATTCTGTATACAGGGGGCAGGTAATTAAAAAGTGCTCTTCATCCTCTATAACTCCAGAGTGGCAGATTTGGCATTTTCTTTTTTTCAAATGGTGTTGGTTTACCTTTGACATGGCGACCTGTTTCAGTGTGCAAATTGGGGCTGCTGATTCTAAATTTGGTTATGGTTTGACGTTTTTCTTTATCTTGAATTATATCAAGATAACTCTCTGAAGTTTGAAAGTTTTACACGTTCTCAACTTGAGGTCTTCTTGTGATATTCTACTATGCCAAAGTTGTATACTACTGTCTCTAAGTTTAACACTAAAAATGAAGTTTTTGTCTGCTTTCTGTTTAAGCCATACATCTTCAAACCCATTTTCTACGAGAATTTTCTTTACTCCTTCACTCCATGACATACTATGTAAGTTATATAACATAATATGTAAGACCACTACCTGCAATATCTGGATGTGTCGGTAGAATCCCATGAGAAAATGTAATCAGGTATAAAATAAGCAGTCCTGTGTGTAAGTTTGGTATTAAACGACTCACACAAATGATAATACTACATATAAAAACAATATGTTATTTAATTCGTGTAATAAATTGACTTTTTCATGATCACGTATGATACATGTTTTGATTTCAGCTCAATGCATTCCGCGAACTTTTTCGAGGACGTTTCACTGAAAACGAAGCTAGATATCTTGTCGAGAAATTTGATTTCGATATTAGAGAGGCGGCTTGTTATGTATTGGAAAGTGAGTGGAGACCTACAATTGTAAACAGAATGGTATCTTGTCAATAATGATTTTTTAATCAATTTGTCTGTCTAATAGGCGGTAATGTTTATCATTTTGTAGATTTTTTATAGCAGCAAACTCTCGGATCGAAAGCATAGGCCAATTAAAATGAACAAATGAATTTCGAAAATGCGCCGAGTTTTAATAAACAAAATATTTCTGTTTCAGTCGTATATCTGGCTTTCTGTTTCTATTTTAGAAAAGCCTGATGATTTGAGACGGGAAATACAAGAAGAGGCCAAAAGCTGGGTAAATTAATAGTATTTCACAGATTAACTTGGAAAAAGATATTTATTTCGGTTATTAATTGAAGTTATTTTTATTTAGTGTGTGTGTATGTGTGTGTGTGTGCATGTGTGTGTGTGTGTGTGTGTGTGTGTAAGAGAGAGAGAGAGAGAGAGAGAGAGAGAGCTGCGATCCTCTTCTATGCTTCATTTACAAACATGTATATTCCTGTTAATCAGCTCTATCCATCTCCCTTTTCTCCGTCACTTGCCTTCCTTTCACAACCGCACATTCTCTCTCTCTCTTTCTCTCTCTCATGCATGCCTCCCTCCCCCTCCCCTCACACACACACACAGACTATCAAAACGTCTTAATACTTGCAGATCGAAGTTATTCCTCGGACAAGTGAGGCCAAAAGAGGACGCCTCTCTGTAGAGATCAGACAATTCGGGTGCCAAGCCTGTGACCACTCCTGGTGGAGACGAGTCCCTGCAAGAAAGCTAGTAAGTTTCATACCAGGGAGATCAAACCGCCCTCGTCCGTTATGCTGGGCCTCAGCTTGCTAGTAGACAGTCTGCTCTGATAGAAATATTAGTGTCTTCAGAACAGCGGAATTACAGATCTGCGGATCAAATATGGCGACATGATAAAAAGCTTGCCGCTTAATTGCCGATTAGACACTGAATAGATACCCCGCAGGGATTACATTACAAGCATTCTAGTGGATCGGCTATATTTGATCCGCAGATCTGTTACTTTGCTGTTGTGAATGCGCCATAGTCTTTCATAATGCGTAAAGAGGCGCTATTGTACAAGACAGGTCGCAGCGGAAACTGACGCCCAGGGTTCATTTCCGACTTCTCAACTTCTGACATTTAGCGCCATTTCGCAAAGCAACAACCTCAAACAATAAATGTGCGAGACTGGTCCTATCGTACTAACGGTGGATCGATCCATCTCCGAGGGCATTCTCGCTAAATTCCAATCAACTTAAGCGGCTTAGATGTCCATCACGCCTACTGAGGCTGCTGGGGGGGGGGGGGGGTAATTAATTATCGTTTAGCAGCTTCAGACATCTAAGCCGCTTAAGTTGAAAGCAATTTAGCGAGAACCCCCCGGAAATGAATCGATCCTGTCAGTCGATCTAGGAATGGCAACCTAGTCTAAGCTTAAAGTAATGATACAGAAAAGAAAAAAAGAAATAATATTTTGAACTATAACCATTCAGATTTGATCTCCTGTTATTTTTTCAAATGACGAATTATTTTTGTAGGTTTCAAAGTGTTATGGCTGTAAAGTAAAATTCGATGCTATACCAAGAGATAAAGAGTGGGGCTATGCGGAATTTCATTGCAATAAGTGTGGAAATGATTTTAGGTGGGTTTTATTCTTTAAAACTTGAAACAGGCTATCAGTGTACGGCCGCCTTTAATTCTCTCTCATTCTCTCTCTGTCTCTCTGTCTCTCTCTCTCTCTGTCTCTCTGTCTCTCTCTTTCTCTGTCAGCTTCTTTACACCGCAGTTCCCATACCTAAATCGCTCTGACAGGATCGAGCCATCTCCGAGGGGGTTTTCGCTAAATTGCTTTCAGTTTAAGCTGCTTATATGTCTGGCACGCCTACTGGAGCTGCTTAACGATAATTAATTACCCCAGCAGCTTCAATAGGCGTGACAGAAATCTAAGCCGTTTAAGTTGATTGCAATGTAGCTAGAATCCCCTCGGAGACAGATCGATCCACAGTTAGTTCGACAGTATGTGGAGGGAACGAACAACCTTGTCACATATACAGTTTGGTACTCTTTTATGTTCTTTATTCTTTTGTTTGTATATTTATTTATCCATTCATGCATTTATGTACCCCAACCAGGACAGGGGTGGGTTTGAAAGAAAAGGTCCATTTTGGTTAATATTTGATCTATGTTTACTTTGGTTTCATTTTAACATTATCAAATTGAGAATTTTTCAGAGGGTGGGCCCAGATGGGCACTACCAGCCCGTGCTACCGCTGCGGTGCCATGGTAACGCCCACGTGTATTTTACCGCCGCTTCGCTACAGCCCCGGCGGAGGACCTGGACGGAGAGGAGGAAACAGACACAGCTGCTCTTGTTGTATGAACGGTAAAGTACCTATACATATACACATATTGTGCAATATAATTCCGGTAAATTATTTTTTCCCAGTGTTATTGCAGATGTTATGATTTTGCTTCATGGGAATATTTTCCGTGACCCACTGAACCACAATTATTCATTTTCTTGGGAATAGATCAAGTTAATACGTTTGTGATAATGCTTATCAACCCCCCTTCTCTCTCTCTCTCTCTCTCTCTCTCTCTCTCTCTGTGTGTGTGTGTGTCTGTGTGTTTTTCGGATAGGGCCTACAGAAAAGTTGGAATTGTTTCGCCCCCCTTTAATGATAATACTGATAATAATAATAATAATAATGATAATTAATGAAAATAGTTTGGTCTTGGTTTGTCTGTTCAAATAATAATAATGATAACTAAAGAGGTATAGTACAATACGATAAGTTGGAAAATAGCTTGGTCTTGGTTTGTCTGTTCAAATAATATAATGATAATTATTATTATTTGAACAGACAAACCAAGACCAAACTATGTGTTGTATAGTTGTTGTATAATTATCATTATTATTATTTGAACAGACAAACCAAGACCAAACTATTTTCCAACTTATCGTATTGTACTATACCTCTTTAGTTCATATTATTTAACAGCAAGATCAACCACGTCTCTGTTTAGACTATTAGTATTTAGCCCTCTGCGTGCGTTCGAGTGTGTGTGTGTGTGTGTGTGTGTGTGTGTGTGTGTGTGTGTTGGGGGGGGGGGCTTATGAATGCCATCATGTATTGTGCTATCTTACATGGAGCACTGTGTCCCGCTATGGAATAAAAAATTGCGATATGTAATGTAACATTGCTGTATGTCTAATTGTGTTAGTAGCCTTTTGTATTGTTCGTTACATATTGTTAAAAATCAATAAAAATAAAATAACTGCTTTTCATTTGCCCCAAGGTCGTCCGTGCTGTCACCCTCAGGTCAGACGAAGGTTTGGTCTGCCACGTGTTGTCTACAGCAGTAACGTTCACGTCAGTTCCGGTTCTACCGTCGCCACGTTCTTGCCACAGGACGATCTGATGAATGACAACGATTTCATCGCATACGACCGCCTTTCTCCCATACCAAGTGATGACGGAAGTGATGACGAAAGTGGCGGAGGGGCGGTGCTCTATGACCGTTGCAAAGTCAGTCGCGGCCGTGATGGAACCCAAGGGGATGATGGGAATGGGTGACGTGGAAGCTGCGTGAGACCGTTTTTTATTTGTTAGTTTGTTTGAGGCTTTGGGAATGATCAAGCAGCCATGAGGATTTGAGACTGTAATGGAAAATATTGCCCAGAATAAACCTTTTCTTTTGAACCCCACGAGCCTACGGGCCTGGATGGGATACATAATGGCATGAATAGGTAAATAAATATGCAGACACAAGAATAAAGAGCACAAAGAAGCACCATGTGAGTGACAAGGTTGTTCGTTCCCACCACAAAAACTGTTGGTGTAAGGAAGCTGAGAGAGAGAGAGAGAGAGAGAGAGAGTTAAAGGCGGCCATACACTGAAAACCTGTTTCAGGTTTCACAGAATAAGACTCACTTAAAATCATGTCCACACTCGCAAAGGAATAGCCCCACTCTTTATCTCTTGGTAAAGCATCGAATTTTAGTTTACAGCCATAACACTTTGAAACCTACAAAGATAATTTTGCTGAGGGTAGGCTAGGCAATACACGGCAGACTTCTTAGTACGTGTGTACAACAGAATTTTTTCAAAAACCCAAGCGATATTTGGTCAGGAGTTGCTTGAAACATAGCACAGCGTTGCTGTCTATCGGCATCAGGCCGTTTGTTTGTCAATTATCACGAATTATCCACGAATCGCGAACCCATTCATTTTCCTATGGCAATCTAGCAACTCATGAAAAGTGCACGCATGCGCAGTGGGCTAAGCGTGACGTCATGCAGTGCATTTCTGGGGATGGTGGCTTAGATGTCTGGCACGCCCACTGAAGCTGCTAAACGATAATTAATTACCCCCTAGCAGCCTTAGTAGGCATGATGGACATCTAAGCCGCTTTAGTTGATTGCAATTAAGCGAGAATCCACCCGGACATAGATCGATCCAGTTTCGTACGATAGGACCAGTTTCGCACATGTATTGTTTGAGGTTGTTGCTTTGCGAAATAACGCTAAATGTCGGAAAAAGAGACGTCGGAAATGGTTAAATGATTAAATTTCACATGACACGATTTATAGCCTCCCGGGAATTCTTTTCCCTTGACGCTCTTTGGCGCGCTGGCTGTTGATGCAGCGTGTATTTCAAAACAAATTGACAGCAAATAAAGCACGATTTTGCACCTTCAAGTTCCGTGTCACGTTTTCATATCATGCACCTATTATTTCTACAAGTATTCTCTGTCCAAAATGCGTAAAGTAAAAGTGTTATTCTACCATGTTGTTTAGAAAACTTCTTTTTCCTCCGACTACACGTTTTCTCTCCCGTTCACCTCCAGCTTAAAATGACCACTTAGCTTCGCTTCTAACACCACTACACGTCACTTCCGGGCACAATCAGTCTCCCCCGGTACCCTTTATTATAATCTCAAACTCTACTAAAATTCGATTGCCGCATATATTGAAGACGTCATAACACAATTACATGAATTACATAAAATTACAAAAAACCATGACGCCAATCAAGAGGTTGTTTTTATATATAGGAATATCATAATTACAAATACTGACATTTGAATTGTTTGACACCAATAAAATGTCAAAAAAAAAAAAAAAAAAAAAAAAAAAAAAATTCAATAAGCGAAGCTTGGACTTACTGCCGCATTGGGGAGCTTTGTCCAGCCTCACAATAGACACTGAGGAAGGTCACGGTGCGACCGAATGCCTTGTTTCTGCTTTTTTATTTTGTGTACAAAATGACACTTCTAAATTTATGATTATTTTTAGTAGACTACACAGACGAATTATATTTATCAGAAAATATTAAAATGATGTATGAAATGTTCAATTTTGAAATGTTTATGCATCAAAAAACATGACTTTAGCATTCCTCACGTGAATATTTATCTATCAGAGGTAGCCTACCGAGCGATTCATTCTTTTATAAGCTTCCATATTTTTGTTATAGCTTTAGTTATATGCTATTATGACTAGCAACCCAAACTTGCCGCCATGTTTAATTACATGAAAGACACATTAAAATGACGAATTATGCATACGCAGAAGCCTTTGCGACTAGCCGCAAATACACTGTAATAGCCTCGAAACTGATGGTGATTTCGCTATAAGCGCACGGCCGCGATTTGCGAAGCTTTTGAAATACGGGGCCCAGGTCAACCGCAAAGCATATAGATATAGGGCTGTGACAACAAAACTGGCGTTCTTGTCTTTATTTAACATTATTTTTTTTATTTAAAAAAGCCAGCACGTGCTAGTAGCATGAAAATGAGAGAGAGAGAGAGAGAGAGAGAGAGAGAGAGAGAGAGAGAGAGAGAGAGAACGGAAAGACACACTTTTAGGGACCATTAATTCCCACAGAAATTCCCACAAATATACATTATACGCACGGGTTAGGTATACACATGAATATTTTTGACTACAATCATCAAAAATAAATAAGAATTTGCCACAAATTTCATAGCAGACCCTACTACTCCAAAACTTTTTTTAAAAATCATTCAAAAATTCAAACATATTAGGGGGCTTATACAACTAAGTAGCGGATATAAGCCATAAAGGGGCAAAAAAAGCAGTACTGATGTTAAGCAAATCATTTTAGCCATATCGCAATGCCCTTAATGACATTTCTGTCACGTGAAAATATCTGGGTCGACAATGACGTCACTTGNGGGGGGGGGTGGGGGGTGGTAGAGGGTGTTGTTAAATGATCCTGGATTTCTTAAGTTGCTTGTTTTAGGTCTCCTCTTGAAACAAGAATTTTGACTAGCTGAATCATCCCCATGTGTCGTCCCAATGGAGCCGAGATTTAATGACTGTCCCCCCGCAGGCACGACGTGTGGGGAGGCGTGTGAGAGGCGGAGAGACTATTAAAAGATTAGGCGGGTTTTTTTTCATGTACGTCCGCCATATTTAGTCCCCAGGATTTGTAAAGCCTAGCTCAACTCGTTGTGAATGCGATCATAGTTGTTAACCGTACCAAATGACACCGCTAGCCCTCTAAAATACCAAAAATGATAGCAAAAACTGATCGTCTTAACTACGCCCCAGTAACGCTTCGTTACATCACTGCCCAGCAATATGTGAGTGGCATAATTGGGCAAATGTCGTAAACCATGCTAATTGTCATCAAACTCTCTCTGTGCCAGCCTAGTTATAGTGGAAAACGAGCTACGACCGACATAGGGCCTACACCACCTACACTGTACTGGCAGGCGTAAATTTGAATGTTAGTGCTTAGTATCGTTTTGTTGGTGCTAAATAATTGTACGGTGTGTTGGTTAATTCGTGGGTTTAGTGGCTAATATGGACGTTGAGATCTGCAGGTATATATAGTCTTAGTAAACGCCTAATTCGTTTATGAGGCCTTATAAAGGCTTATATAGGAGAAACAAACATTCCAACAGCCCAGCAGTTTAATTCATGCCCTTTTTCTTCACAGCAGAAAATCTTGTCATGAATTAGCACTGATCATACGCTAGCATCACACTACAAGTATTTTATACGTGACTAAGATTTATATAGGGGGCCTATTAATTATGCAAGATCCATTTTCTACTATGTGAAACAAACCTTCATATTTATAGCAAGTATTTATACATCACAAAGTGGAAGATATAGCACAATTTCTTTTGTCAAAAGTGAGGTTAATGAATTTAACCAAACATACTATCACCGTCTCATTTGGGTTGTTCATTCTGAAGGAGAATTTATCTCTGTTGTTTAAATGTGTAAAATATGTATGGGCGCTTTGCACTATTTGAAATAGTTTATTTCTATATTCTGTATACAGGGGGCAGGTAATTAAAAAGTGCTCTTCATCCTCTATAACTCCAGAGTGGCAGATTTGTCATTTTCTTTTTTTCAAATGGTGTTGATTTACCTTTGACATGGCGACCTGTTTCAGTGTGCAAATTGTGGCTGCTGATTCTAAATTTGGTTATGGTTTGACGTTTTTCTTTATCTTGTATATCAAGATATCTTTCTTTCTCAAAATGAAGTTTTAAAGTTTTATACGTTCTCAACTTGAGGTTTTCTTGTGATGTTCTACTATGCCAAAGTTGTATACTACTGTCTCTAAGTTTAACCCAAAAAATTTTCATGATGTTTTTGTCTGCTTTCTGTTTAAGCCATACATCTTCAAACCTATTTTCTACGAGAATTTTCTTTACTCCTTCACTCCATGACATACTATGTAACACCCCATTCTCATAGATTAGATCGACCTACATTGGATCGACCTAACTCCCTGGGGGTTCACGCTAAATAGCTGTCAGCCGGGCGGACACGAAAGTTAATTACCCCTTAAAGCTTGTAGTAGGCGGGGACGGACACTTAAGGGGGATTATCTGACAGTAATCTAGTGAGACTCCCCGCGGTGATAGATCGATCTAAAAGTTGTGAGAACAGAGCCTAAGTTATATCACATAACATGTAAGTCCACTACCTGCAATATCTGGATGTGTCAGTAGAAAATGTTTAAGTAAATGTGAGAAAATGTAATCAGGTATAAAACAAGAAGTCCTGTAAGTTTGGTGTTAAATCACTCAAATCACACAAATGATAAGTACTACATATAAAAACAATATGTTATTTAATTCGTGTAATAAATTGACTTTTTCATGCTTTTTCAGCTAAATGCATTCCGCGAACTTTTTCGAGGACGTTTCACTGAAAACGAAGCTAGATATCTTGTCGAGAAATTTGATTTCGATATTAGAGAGGCGGCTTGTTATGTATTGGAAAGTGAGTGGAGACCTACAATTGTAAACAGAATGATATCTTGTCAACAATGATTTTTTTTTATCAATTTGTCTGTCTAATAGGCCGTAATGTTTATCATTTTGTAGATTTTTTTAAAGCAGCAAACACTCGGATCAAAGGCATAGGCCAATTAAAATGAACAAATGAATTTGAAAATGCGCTGAGTTTTAATAAACAAAATATTTCTGTTTCAGTCGTATATCTGGCTTTCTGTTTCTATTTTAGAAAAGCCCGATGATTTGAGACGGGAAATACGAGAAGAGGCCAAAAGCTGGGTAAATTAATAGTGTTTCACAAATTAACTTGGAAAAAGATATTTCTTTCGGTTATTAATTGAAGTTGTTTTTATTTAGTGTGTGTGTGTGTGTGTGTGTGTGTGTGTGTGAGAGAGAAAGAGAGAGAGAGTGAGAGAGAGAGAGAGAAAGCGATCCTCTTCTATGCTTCATTTACAAACATGTATATTCCTGTTTATCAGCTCTATCCATCTCTCTTTTCTCCGTCACTTGCCTTCCTTTCACAACCGCACATTCACACTCCAGGCCCGTAGCCAGGGGGGGTTCGGGGGGTTCGAAAGAACCACCCTTTTTGCTGGGAAAAGGTCCACTCTGGGTAAATTTGATGTATGTACTTGAGGATTTTATGGTTAAATGTCCACTTTTTCAGAAAACGAACCCCCCTCTGAAATTGCTGGCTACGGGCCGCACTCTCTCTCTCTTTCTCTCTCTCACGCACACGCCTGCTCCCCCCTCCCTACACACACACACACACATACTCTATCAAAACACGTTTAAATAATTGCAGATCGAGGTTATTCCTCGGACAAGTGAGGCTAAAAAAGGACGCCTCTCTGTAGAGATCAGACAGTTCGGGTGCCAAGCCTGTGACCACTCCTGGTGGAGACGAGTCCCTGCAAGAAAACTAGTAAGTTTCATACCAGGGAGATCAAACCGCCCTCGTCCGTTATGCTGGGCCTCAGCTTGCTTGTAGACAGTCTGCTTTGATAGAAATATTAGAGTGTCTTCAGAACAGCGGACTAACAGAGCTGCGGATCAAATATGGCGACATGCTAAAAAGCTTGCCGCTTAATTGCCGATTAGACACTGAATAGATACCCCGCAGGGATTACTTTACAAGCATTCTAGTGGATCGGCTATATTTGATCCGCAGATCTGTTAATCCGCTGTTCTGAATGCGCCATAGTCTTTCATAATGCGTAAAGAGGCGCTATTGTACAAGACAGGTCGCAGCGGAACCTGACGCCCAGGGTTTATTCCCGACTTTTCAATTTCTGATATTTAGCGCCATTTCGCAAAGCAACAACCTCAAACAATACATGTGCGAAACTGGTCCTATCGTACTAACGGTGGATAGATCCATCTCCGAGGGCATTCTCGCTAAATTCCAATCAGCTTAAGCGGCTTAGATGTCCATCACGCCTACTGAGGCTGCTAGGGGGGGGGGTAATTAATTATCTTTTAGCAGCTTCAGTGAGCGTGCCAGACATCTAAGCCGCTTAAGTTGAAAGCAATTTAGCGAGAACCCCCCGGAAATGAATCGATCCTGTCAGGTCGATCTAGGAATGGCAACCTAGTCTAAGCTTAAAGAATGATACAGAAAAGAAAAAAAGAAAATAATATTTTGAACTATAACCATTCAGAATTTATCTCCTGTTATTTTTTCAAATGACAAATTATTTTGTAGGTTTCAAAGTGTTATGGCTGTAAAGTAAAATTCGATGCTATACCAAGAGATAAAGAGTGGGGCTATGCAGAATTTCATTGCAATAAGTGTGGAAATGATTTTAGGTGAGTCTTATTCTTTAAAACTTGAAACAGGCTATCAGTGTATGGCCGCCTTTAATTCTCTCTCATTCTCTCTCTCTCTCTGTCTCTCTGTCTCTTACTCTCTCTCTGCCTCTCTCTCTCTGTCAGCTTCTTTACACCGCAGTCTAAGACTGGGTTCCCATACCTAAATCGCTCTGACAGGATCGATCCATCTCCGAGGGTTTTTTCGCTAAATTGCTTTCAGTTTAAGCTGCTTAGATGTCTGTCACGCCTACTGGAGCTGCTAAACGATAATTAATTACCCCAGCAGCTTCAATGGGCGTGACATAAAATCTAAACCGTTTAAGTTGATTGCAGTTTAGCTAGAATCCCCTCGGAGACAGATCGATCCACAGTTAGTACGACAGTATGTGGAGGGAACGAACAACCTTGTCACATATATATAGTATGGTGCTCTTTTATGTTCTTTATTCTTTTGTTTGTATATTTATTTATCCATTCATGCATTTATGTACCCCAACCAGGCCAGGGGTGGGTTTGAAAGAAAAGGTCCATTGATCTACAGGTATGTATACTAAGGTTTCATTTTAACATTATCAAATTGAGAATTTTTCAGAGGGTGGGCCCAGATGGGTACTACCAGCCCGTGCTACCGCTGCGGTGCCATGGTAACGCCCACGTGTATTTTACCGCCGCTTCGCTACAGCCCCGGCGGAGGACCTGGACGGAGAGGAGGGAACAGACACAGCTGCTCTTGTTGTATGAACGGTAAAGTACCTATACATATACACATATTGTGCAATATAATTCCGGTAAATTATTTTTTCCCAGTGTTATTGCAGATATTATGATTTTGCTTCATGGGAATATTTTCCATGACCCACGGAACCAAAATTATTCATTTTCTTGGGAATAGATCAAATTAATACGTTTGTGATAATGCTTATCAACCCCCCTTCTCTCTCTCTCTCTCTCTCTCTCTCTCTCTCTGTGTGTGTGTGTGTGTGTGTGTGTGTGTGTGTGTCTGTGTGTTTTTCGGATAGGGCCTACAGAAAAGTTGGAATTGTTTCGCCCCCCCTTTAATGATAATACTGATAATAATAATAATGATAATTATTATTATTTGAACAGACAAACCAAGACCAAACTATTTTCCAACTTATCGTATTGTACTATACCTCTTTAGTTCATATTATTTAACAGCAAGATCAACCACGTCTCTGTTTAGACTATTAGTATTTAGCCCTCTGCGTGCGTTCGAGTGTGTGTGTGTGTGTGTGTGTGTGTGCAGGGGCGGATTCAGAGTTATTTCCTGACAGTCTTCCAAATTATCTTTGTTGATCCGTTCTTCATTTTTGACCGTCTTCCGACAGATAAAATTAGATNGCAAGATCAACCACGTCTCTGTTTAGACTATTAGTATTTAGCCCTCTGCGTGCGTTCGAGTGTGTGTGTGTGTGTGTGTGTGTGTGCAGGGGCGGATTCAGAGTTATTTCCTGACAGTCTTCCAAATTATCTTTGTTGATCCGTTCTTCATTTTTGACCGTCTTCCGACAGAAAAAATTAGATACCCGCCAATGTAAACTTGAAAATCTGACCGTCTTCTGGAAGACCCAGAAGACGCCCTAAATCCGCCCCTGGTGTGTGTGTGTGTGTTGGGGGGAGGGGGCTTTTGAATGCCATAATGTATTGTGCTATCTTACATGGAGCACTGTGTCCCGCTACGGAATAAAAAATTGCGATATGTAATGTAACATTGCTGTATGTCTAATTGTGTTAGTAGCCTTTTGTATTGTTTCGTTACATATTGTTAAAAATCAATAAAAATAAAATAACTGCTTTTCATTTGCCCCAAGGTCGTCCGTGCTGTCACCCTCAGGTCAGACGAAGGTTTGGTCTGCCACGTGTTGTCTACAGCAGTAACGTTCACGTCAGTTCCGGTTCTACCGTCGCCACGTTCTTGCCACAGGACGATCTGATGAATGACAACGATTTCATCGCATACGACCGCCTTTCTCCCATACCAAGTGATGACGGAAGTGATGACGAAAGTGGCGGAGGGTCGCGGCCGTGATGGAACCCAAGGGGATGATGGGAATGGGTGACGTGGAAGCTGCGTGAGACCGTTTTTTATTTGTTAGTTTGTTTGAGGCTTTGGGAATGATCAAGCAGCCATGAGGATTTGAGACTGTAATGGAAAATATTGCCCAGAATAAACCTTTTCTTTTGAACCCCACGAGCCTACGGGCCTGGATGGGATACATAATGGCATGAATAGGTAAATAAATATGCAGACACAAGAATAAAGAGCACAAAGAAGCACCATATGAGTGACAAGGTTGTTCGTTCCCACCACATAAACTGTTGGTGTAAGGAAGCTGAGAGAGAGAGAGAGAGAGAGTGAGAGAATTAAAGGCGGCCATACACTGAAAACCTGTTTCAGGTTTTACAGAATAAGACTCACTTAAAATCATGTCCACACTCGCAAAGGAATAGCCCCACTCTTTATCTCTTGGTATAGCATTGAATTTTACTTTACAGCCATAACACTTTGAAACCTACAAAAATAATTTTGTCTTATGAGAAATAATACAAGATCAATTCTGATGGGTTATAGTTCAAAATATTTGTTTTTTTTTATTTTTCTGTGTCATTGCCTTCATCCTAGACTGGGTTCCCGTACCTAGATCGACCTAACAGGATCGATCCATTCCCGGGGGTTTCTCGCTAAATTGCTTTCACCTTAACATGGCCAGAAATGCGCAGCATTCACGCGATACGCGAGGGCGCTACAGTAGGGCTTTACGTGACTCAACTAGCCAATCACAGCACAACAATGGCATCGCACACAGACTCTGTGATAAGTGCTCAGCCCATTGTCAAGTAGTGTTAGTTCATGGTAACAAGCGTCTGACATGTGCAGAGAAGTTTATTGTAATATATATTGTTGTTATTGTTACATTATTAAATCTAACTCTGTATCCAAGTAGTAACTATACTGTACCAAGTCAGGTACTGATGATGTGCAGAGGTCATATATTCCAGAATAAGCCATTACCACTAATTTATAACTTTAATTGTGTTTAATATGTTATTAATGAAAGAGTACATGAAAGATTATTTTAATTTGTTAAATCGTGATCTTATTCTTTTTATATTCAAATAATTGAATAATGTGGGTAAAATTGGTCTTCCACTTCTTATTTGCATTTTTCCTTAATACAAGATTATTTTGGAACAGTTGCAGCATTGAAATTTTAAATAAATAAACAGCAATCTGAAAGAAGAATTTTGCATTATTATTAAATGATGATAAGAATTTTGGATTAAGAGATTAGTTAAATACTAAGTAGTGATATTGTCAGTCAATTTATGTAGAATCTGATAATATGATTGAAAATAGTGATTGAATTCTTGGCCTTGCACTGGGCAGTTTCACATTTGTGTTAAGTGCTTTTTTTTTTACTCCATTGTACAGTGGTAAAAGTTCTTCAATTGCCATGAGTTTTTAATCAGACTCTGTATGGTGCTGCTATCTGCTGGTGCTATCGGCAACGAATGAGTTTACCTTTGTTTCTGAGTGAATCTACCGTCTAAAATCACTATTTCTGAAAATATATGCGTTTTGCTGAGGGTAGGCTAGGCAATACACGGCAGACTTCTTAGTACGTGTGTACAACAGAATTTTTTCAAAAACCCAAGCGATATTTGGTCAGGAGTTGCTTGAAACATAGCACAGCGTTGCTGTCTATCGGCATCAGGCCGTTAGTTTGTCAATTATCACGAATTACCCACGAATCGCGAACCCATTCATTTTCCTATGGCAATCTAGCAACTCATTAAAAGTGCACGCATGCGCAGTGGGCTAAGCGTGACGTCATGCAGTGCATTTCTGGGGATGGTGGCTTAGATGTCTGGCACGCCCACTGAAGCTGCTAAACGATAATTAATTACCCCCTAGCAGCCTTAGTAGGCGTGATAGACATCTAAGCCGCTTTAGTTGATTGCAATTTAGCGAGAATCCACCCGGACATAGATCGATCCAGTTTCGTACGACAGGACCAGTTTCGCACATGTATTGTTTGAGGTCAATGTTGCTTTGCGAAATAACGCTAAATGTCGGAAAATGAGACGTCGGAAATGATTAAATGCTTAAATTCCACATGACAACGATTTATAGACTCCCGGGAATTCTTTTCCCTTGACGCGCTGGCTGTTGATGCAGCGTGTATTTCAAAACAAATTGACAGTAAATAAAGCACGATTTTGCACCTTCAAGTTCCGTGTCACGTTTTCATATCATGCACCTATTATTTTTACAAGTATTCTCTGTCTAAAATGCGTAAAGAAAAAGTGTTATATTACCATGTTGTTTGGAATACTTCTTTTTCCTCCGACTCCCCTTCTTTTCTCCCGTTCACCTCCAGCTTAAAATGACCACTCAGCTTCGCTTCTAACACCACTACACGTCACTTCAGGGCACAATCAGTCTTCTCCGGTACCCTTTATTATAATCTCAAACTCTACTAAAATTCGATTGCCGCATAAATTGAAGACGTCATAACACAATTACATGAATTACATAAAATTACAAAAAATGAATTTTTTAAACCATGACGCCAATCAAGAGGTTGTTTTTATATATAGGAATATCATAATTACAAATACTGACATTTGAAGTGTTTGACACCAATAAAATGTCAAAGAAACAATTCAATAAGCGAAGCTTGGACTGACACACTTACTGACGCATTGGGGAGCTTTGTCCAGTCTCACAATAGACACTGAGGAAGGTCACCGAATGCCTTGTTTCTGCTTTTTTATTTTGTGTACAAAATGACACTTTTAAATTTATGATTATTTTTAGTAGACTACACAGACGAATTATATTTATCAGAAAATATTAAAATGATGTATAAAATGTTCAATTTTGAAATGTTTATGCATCAAAAAACATGACTTTAGCATTCTTCAGGTGAATATTTATCTATCAGAGGTACCGAGCGATTCATTCTTTTATAAGCTTACATTTTTTTGTTATAGCTTTAGTTATATGCTATTATGACTAGCAACCCAAGCTTGCCGCCATGTTTAATAACATGAAAGACACATTAAAATGACGAATTATGCATACGCAGAAGCCTTTGCGACTAGCCGCAAATACACTGTAATAGCCTCGAAACTGATGGTGATTTCGCTATAAGCGCACGGCCGCGATTTGCGAAGCTTTTGAAATACGGGGCCCAGGTCAACCGCAAAGCATATAGATATAGGGTTGTGACAACAAAACTGGCGTTCTTGTCTTTATTTAACATTAATTTTTTATTTTAAAAAGCCAGCACGTGCTAGTAGCATGAAAACGAGAGAGAGAGAGAGAGAGAGAGAGAGAGAGAGAACAGACAGACATACTTTTAGGGACCATTCCCACAGAAATTCCCACAAATATACGTTATACGCACGGGTTAGGTATAGGCCTACACATGCATATTTGTGACTACAATCATCAAAAATAAATAAGAATTTGCCACAAATTTCCTAGCAGACCCTTTACTCCTCCAAAACTTTTTTTAAAAATCATTCAAAAATTCAAACATATTAGGGGGCTTATACAACTAAGTAGGGGATATAAGCCATAAAGGGGCAAAAAAAGCAGTACTGATGTTAAGCAAATCATTTTAGCCATATCGCAATGCCCTTAATGACATTTCTGTCACGTGAAAATATCTGGGTCGACAATGACGTCACTCGTTAATAACCAGAAGTGAAACCTCCTACAAAATGTGCCCGCTGTACTGACAAATATAGTTGTATGTAAGTACCCGTGGGGGAAGAACACCTGTCACAGAATATGGCTGATGTTGAAGAGGACGCCGAAAAAAAGGTACATTTGTTCAAATTGTTCTCCATTAGGAGATCCGGGATTTTGTGTGTGCATGGGATGGGAGAGGGGCACAAGATATAAAATGCAATTTAAATTACATCTGTAGCAATTACGATGTTCGGAGCTCAGAGGGGTCCCCTGATATACGAAAACTTTCTCTGTTTTTGATATTCGTTTATCAAAGATGTGCTACTTACTTTGTGTAGTTCTTAAAACGTATCTGATTAGGCAAATACTAAGAGCAGCTAGCTGCGATAATGAAGTCTAGATGATTCGGTGGGGAGGGGGGGCGGCAGGGGGGAGTTGTTAAATGATCTAGAATATCTTAAGTTGCTTGTTTTAGGCCTCCACTTGAAAATAGGAAACAAGGATTTTGACTAGCTGAATCATAGTTGTTAACCGTACCAAAAGACACCGCCTGCCCCCTAAAATACCAAAAATGATAGCAAAAAATGATCGTCTTAACTAAGTCCCAGTAACGCTTCGTTACATCACTGCCCAGCAAAATGTGAGTGGTATAATTGGGCAAATGTCGTAAACTATGCTAATTGTCATCAAACTCTCTCTGTGCCAGCCTAGCCATAGTGGAAAACGAGCTACGACCAACATACACCACCTACACTGTACCTGGCAGGCGTAAATTTAAATGTTAGTGCTAGGTATCGCTTTGTTGGTGCTAAATAATTTCTCAAAATGAAGTTCGAAAGTTTTATACGTTCTCATATTGAGATTTTCTTGTGATATCCTACTATGCCAAAGTTGTATACTACTGTCTCTAAGTTTAACACTAAAATTTTTTCATGAAGTTTTTGTCTGCTTTCTGTTTAAGCCACACATCTCCAAACCCATTTTCTACGAGAATTTTCTTTACTCCATCACTCCATGACATACTGTGTAAGTTATATTACATTATATGTAAGTCCACTACCTGCAATATCTGGATGTGTCGGTAGAATCCCATGAGAAAATGACATATCTGTGAATATCTTAGGGGCGGATTCAGAGTTATTTCCTGACAGTCTTCCAAATTATCTTTGTTGATCCGTTCTTCATTTTTGACCGTCTTCCGACAGAAAAAATTAGATACCCGCCAATGTAAACTTGAAAATCTGACCGTCTTCTGGAAGACCCAGAAGACGCCCTAAATCCGCCCCTGTAATATCTTATGGATAATCAAAAGCCTATTTTGTCACATTTTTTCTCTGTCGTATTCGATAGGGACATGAACAATTACTTGTAAGTCCATCACCTGCAATATCTGGATGTAGGCCCGTAGCCAGGGGGGGTTCGGGGGGGGGGGGGTTCGAAAGAACCGCCCCTTTTGTCAGGAAAAGGTCCATTTTGGGTAAAATTTTATCTAGGTACACATAAGTTTTATTTTAAAAGGTCCACTTTTTCAGAAAAAGAACCCCCCTTTCGAATTTGCTGGCTACGGGCCTGCGATCTGTCATTAGAATAAATCCTATAAGAAAATGTAATCAGGTATAAATCAAGTAGTCCTGTGTGTGTAATTTTGGTGTTAAACTACTCACACAAATGAAAGTACTACATATTAAAAACAATATGTTATTTAATTCGTGTAATAAATTGACTTTTTCATGCTCACGTATGATACATGTTTTGATTTCAGCTCAATGCATTCCGCGAACTTTTTCGAGGACGTTTCACTGAAAACGAAGCTGGATATCTTGTTCAGAAATTTGATTTCGATATTAGACAGGCGGCCTCTTATGTATTCGAAAGTGAGTGGAGACAAATGCTTGTAAACGGAATGATATCTAGTCAATAATAATGTTTTTTTTTTTGTTATTACCAATTTGTCTATCTAATAGTCCATAATGTTTATCATTTTGTTGATTTTTTTTAAAGCAGCAAACACTCGGATCAAAGCACAGGCCAAGTAAAATAAACAAATTAGTTTTGAAAATGCGCTGAGTTTTAATAAACAAAATATTTCTGTTTCAGTCATATATTTGGTTTTCTGTTTTAGCAACGCCTGAGGATTTGAGACGGGAAATACAAGAAGAGGCCGCAAGCTGGGTAACTGGATAGTATTTCACAGATTAAGTTGGCAAAAGATATTTATTTCGGTTATTAATTAATGTTATTCTTATTTGATGTGCGCCTGTGTGTGTGTGTGCGTGCGAGAGAGAGAGAGAGAGAGAGAGAGAGAGAGAGAGAGAGAGAGACCTTCTTATATGCTTTACAAATATATATTTCCTGTTTATCAGCTCTATCCATCTCTTTTCTCCGTCACTTGCCTTCCTTTCACAACCGCACATTCTCTCTCTCTGTCTTTCTCTCTCTCACGCCTGCTCCACCCCTGCATACACACATATCAAAACACATCTAAATACTTGCAGATCGAGGTTGTTCCTCGGACAAGTGAGGCTAGAAATGGACGCCTCTCTGTAGAGATCAGACAATTCGCGTGCCAAGCTTGTGACAAAGCCTGGTGGAGACGAGTCCCTGCAAGAAAACTAGTAAGTTTCATACCAGTGAGAACAAACGGCCCCCTTTCGTTATGCTGGGCCTTAGAGACCATTCCCTCAGATATTTGGATAGATCTATCTATCCCCTTGGGGAGTCTCACTAGATTGCTGTCAGTTTGACCGGCTTAAATGTCTGTCCAGCCTACCAAAAGCTGTAAGGGGGTAATTAACTTTTGTGCGCGCTAAGCTCCCAGAAGCTGACAGCAGTTTAGCGTGAACCCCCAGGGAGTTAGGTCGATCCAGACGGATCGATCTAAATCTGTGGTAATCCAGTCTTAGCTTGCTTGTAGCCAGTCCTCTCAGATAGAAATATTAGTCTCTCTTCGTGCGTAAAGAGGCGCTATTGTACAAGACAGGTCGCAGCGGTACCTGACGCCCAGGGTTCATTTCCGACATCTCCTTTTCCGGCATTTAACGTCATTTCGCAAAGCAACAACCTCAAACAATACATGTGCGAAACTGCTCCTATCGTACTAACCATCTCCAAGGGGATTCCCGCTCAATTGCAATCAACTTAAGCGGCTTAGATGCCCATCACGCCTACTAAGGCTGCTAGGGGGTAATTTATTATCGTTTAGCAGCTTCAGTGGGCGTGCCATACATCTAAGCCGCTTAGGCTGAAAGCACTTAAGCGAGAACCCGCAGGAAATGAATCGATCCTGTAAGATAGATTTAGGTATGGTTACTCAGTCTATGAATAAAGTAATGATACAGCAAAGAAAAAAAAAGAAAAAAAATGATTTTAACTATAACCCATCAGAATCGATCTTGTATTATTTCTCAAATGACATTATTTTGTAGGTTTCAAAGTGTTATGGCTGTAGAGTAAAATTCGATGCTATACCAAGAGATCGAGAGTGGGGCTATGCAGAATTTCATTGCAATGAGTGTGGGCATGATTTTAGGTGAGTCTTATTCTTTAAAACTGAAACATTTTCCAGAGTATGGCTGCCTTTAATTCTCCCTCTGTCTCTCTCTCTGTCAGCTACTTTGCACCAACAGTCTTAGACTGGGGTCCCATACCTAAATCGATTTAGCAGGATTTCCGAGAGGTTTTTCGCTTAATTGCGTTCGAATTGCAAACCTTCATATTAATAGTAATTATTTATACATCAAAAAGTGGAAGATATAGCACAGTTTCTTTTGTCAAAAGCGAGGTTAAGGAATTAACCTGCTTAGATGTCTGGCACTACTACTGAAGCTGCTGAACGATGATTAATTACCCCAGCAGCTTCAATAGGCGTGACAGAAATCTAAACCGTATCCCCTGGGAGACAGGTCAATCCACAGTTATTACAACAGTATGTGCAGGCAGCGAACGACCTTTCACTCATATGATGCTCCTTTATGCTCTTTATTCTTTTGTATTTATTTATCTATACATGCGTTTATGTATCCCACCCAGGCCTGTAGCCGGGGAGGGGGGGGAGAGGTGGCTTCGAAAGAAAGGTCCATTCTGGGTAATATTTGATCTAGGTACACAAAGGTTTCATTGTAACAGGTCCATTTTTTTTTTTTTTTGAAAAAAAACCCTTTTCGAAATTGCTGGCTACGGGCCTGTCGGTATCAAAGTGAAAATATCGATGATAATAATCACAGCCGACATTCAAAGTTGTCAAACTGGGACATTTTCAGAGGGTGGGCCCAGATGGGCACTGCCAGCCCGTGCTACCACTGCGGTGCCATGGTAACGACCACGTCTATTTTACCGCCGATTCGCGGAGGACCTGGACAGAGAGGAGGGAATAGACACAGCTGCTCTTTTTGTATTGCAGGTAGTGTACCTATACAGGTTTACATATTGTGCAATTTAATTTCGGTAAATGATTTTTTCCCAAGTTATTGCAGATATTATGGGAATATCTTTCACGACCCATTGAACCAAATTATGCTTTTTCTTGGTTAGATCACGAAAACACGTTTGTGCTAATTTTAATTAAAAATGCTTATCAACCCCCCTTCTCTCTCTCTCTCTCTCTCTCTCTCTCTCTCTCTCTCTCTCTCTCTCTCTCTCTCTGTGTTTGTGTGTGTTTGGGACCCAGAAAGTTGGAAACACTTAAATAAAATAATAATAATAATTTGAACAGACAAACCAAGACCAAACGATTTTCAAACTATCAATTTGGTATCGTTTGTAACTATATCTCTTTAGTTCATATTATTTAACAGCAAGATCAACCATGTCTCTGTTTAGACTATAACGCCCTCTGCGTGCGTTCGAGTGTGTGTGTGTGTGTGTGTGTGTGTGTGTGTGTGTGTGTTGGGGGGGGGGGGGGGGGGGGGGGGGGCTTTTGAATGCCATAATGTATTATGGCTATTATGGCTATCTTACATGAAGCACTGTGTTCCGCTATGGAATAAAAAAATTGCGATATGTAATGCGACATTGCCTTTTCTATTCCATATCTAATTGTACTAGTAGCCTTTGCATTGTATCGTTACATATTGTTTAAAATCAATAAAAATAAAATAACCCCTTTTTTGCCCCAAGGTGGTCCGTGTTGTCACCCTCAGGTCAGACGAAGGTTTGGTCTGCCACGTGTCGTCTACAGCAGTAACGTACACGTCAGTTCCGGTTCCACCGTCGCCACATTCTTGCCACAGGACGATCTGATGAATGACAACGATTTCATCGCATACGACCGCCTTTCTCCCATCCCAAGTGATGACGGAAGTGATGGCGGAAGTGATGACGCAAATGGCGGTGCTCTATGACCGCCGCAGAGGCGGTCGCGGCCATGATGGAACCCAAGGGGATGACGGGAATGGGTGACGTGGAAGCTGCGTGAGGTTGTTTTAATTTTTGTTTGTTTGAGGCTTTGCGATTGATCAAGCAGACATAATGATTTGAGACTGTATCGGAAATAGGGGTGTTTGTGTAACAGGGAATTTATGAAATGTGTAGGACGTTTCTAACTGGGATCGTGTATATCAACCGTAAAAGTGATTTGATGAAAAATAAATGAATTAAGATTAAAAAATTAATAAATAAGAAATTATAAAAAGAAATATTGTGCCGCCGAAAGCAAGGGTGTAACCACCACAAAACCAAACACAGGCAACCTATTTTAATGCAGGGATATATAACACGTCAGTTTACATCTTTAAGGAAGATAAGAATCCGCCTATACGAGCAAGAACAGGTAGTGACGAAACTGTGGACGTAACAGAAAATCCGCCCTCCATTTAGTTATCATGGTTAGGGTTAGCCTGACCTAAGTGTGTTTAAATCTAGGGCGAGGCTAACCTGTACAAATGAATGGTAAGGGGACTCTCTACCATGGGGGACTCTGTCATGTTACACCGGTGTGACAGGAACGGCATTCCCTTAGGAACCGAAGTCCATTGCTAGTTCCCCATTACTAGTACTTTGTGCAGGTGACATTCCTCCCATATTCTAACCCAAACACACCGACCAACCCTAATCTGTACTAATTATATGGGACCCGTTCACTTTTCACCGAGGGGAAAAAGCCCGTATATAGAGAGACTCTGAGTACAGGAATACCTTTAATGGTGTTTGAAGCAGTAGTTATAAGGCACCAAGTGTATGTATATTGTAAGCCGTCACTCTCAGGTTATTGTAATGATTCAAAAGTTAAACTGTAATTTTGGACCAACAGACTCCGTCTGTGAAATGACTTTCAAAATGTACTTGCAAGTACGTGTGTATAAGAATCATACAGTATATACATACATGTATCGTTAAAAAAATTAATTCTTTTTCCATTCAGTACGTAATAGCACTAATACCTGTTGCTCTCCCCAACCCCAATCAGCAATCACTTCTCTCAAAGATGATTCTTGTCATAGTGCATGTAACAAGGTAGATCTAAGTTTTGATCTTTGTAAAATCGATGAAGCCGGGACTTTATTAGGGGCCTAATTGCATTTAGAAATTTTGGTTTAGATAACATAAAAGACTAGAGTCACTTTCTTTGCTAAGAGTTTTATTTTTAAACAGAAACTCGAATATTAAAAGGACAATGGTAACTGGATTTGCAAAAAATATAGATTTCGCATCTATGTTCTTAAATCAAGATATGATTCAAATAATGATTATGATAAAAATCATTTTAATAAATTCAGGATCGCAGCGAGCTTTCCCAAATCCGTGAACTCTGCGTACTCTTTCCTGATATTTTTTTGTGTTTTATGTTACATTTTCCATACTTTAAGAACATGTAGCAAACTACGATGCATATTATACACGGAGGGCGTGCACGCAAGAGACGATTTCATGTCGTCGCTGTTTAACCGCCGATTCTGGATCGCAGCGTGCTTTCCCAACTCTGTGAAGTTAAGTTTACTCTTTCTTACATTTTCCAAAATTCATGAATATTAAGCAAAATACGATGCATATTCTAAGCGGAAAGCTTGCACCCAAGATCGACGCTATGTTGCACATGATCCAATGTTGTTACCCAGTATCGTGGACGTGAATATATATATATATATATATATATATATATATATATATATATATATATATATATATATGCTAATGACGCACGCAAACATGCACGTGTAGAATTACTTACAAATTATTCATGTGAAGTAAACTAGAAAGCAATTATCAACCACATTTCTTTTTTTCATATAGTTTATTTTTGTCATACTTTCCTAATATATACATTATCACACTCCACTCATAGAAAAAGCAACCAATCATCTGTATCATACTAATTCTTTTAATATGGGAATATTTAAAACGTGTACCAACTCTTTTCTCTGGCAAACTTTGTTTCAACATCTACAAATGCGTCCAGTATGGTGAATGTGTTATACAGTATAAAATGTCTAAAAGATATATTTTATAATATGACAATCACATAACGAGTATCTTTTAACACAAGGAACACAAAAAAGGCCTACATTAACACTTCCGTCTGTACGGTGGAGTGATAAAAATTGAAGGAGTATACAAGTACATGTTATGTATTTTCACAGGTATATAATATCTGTTACCCTTGGTCCCGTTTGTTAAAGTGGGGCATAAAGCAAATTCTACCCTGACTACAAAACTGTACCCCTATTATCTTACACAGCATGCCTTCTTGGATTATATACGTATCAAAAGAAACATATTTTGGAATGTAAATATTTAAAAAATATCTAGAGAGGATTATCTACTTAACGCGACGCCAAGCTTTCAATTTGATATGATACAATACTGAAATGTGTTTTAATTGGTTATGTTAAAACCATTACAAATTCCTCAAATAATAAATTTATACTGAGTGACTGTGTAGTTTTTGTAAGATGAAAATACCGTCTACGTCCAAGTGGACTTAACTACTTTGAAATGATTTAGTAATATGTCTGGCATAAACATTGAATGCATAGTTTGTGTACTGCTTTGCAAGCACGTGACGATATAAAAATCTGTGATAATTTAAGTCCTGTAAATACACTGCGTCAACAAACAATGCAAAATAAATCCTGTACATTGTGCAACAGAAACTATGTACATTTGGACCCATTCAAGGATGGATTTGGAAGGGGTGTGGTCTATACCCCCCCCCCCCCCCCCCCCATCCTGATTCCGCCGCTTGACTTTTCATTCGGACGACAAAATTTCACCGCTTTGGTATCAACAACCTTCAATCACAACCTTTTCACAAGCTTAATTATGTCCCCAAAGAAACGTTTTTGCAATCATTTCTCCTCCAGAAATGATATTTGTGTGAATCATTACGCTGACATTATTTTCTTTAATTCGTTTGCGTCATATCAGTGGCAAGGCGAACGGTGTTCAAGGAAAAGTCTAGCACCCACTTAGAAAATTACATATTGTTCGTTCAAGGGTATTCAAAAACATGGCAGTGATATTAGGCATTCTTCTTCAACTACATCTCTATTCTAGATCAGCCAAAGCTATAAAGCTAAGGAAATGTTATGTATATCACTGCATAAGACAGAATAGGGTTGTATCTAAGAACGAAAACCAAAGAGAAAGTTTTTTCTTTCTGCCGTTAACATTCATTTACGTGTTAATATTCATTTACGTGATCTAGGCTCTGTCGATATGTTCTCTAGAAGAAGCAATCGTCGCCGGTGCTGTGGCATTTCCGAACCTAAACCTAAACCGTCTAATCGAATGAATCTACACTATTCAATTCTTTAAGGTTTTTACATGAAATCCATAAAATTATAGCCTGGGGTAACTCGAGTTCCTTTTTTCTTGAATAAAAAAAACGCGAGGAGGAAATCCTATTCCGTTTGCTATGGCGTTATCCTATATGAAACAGATTGATATAAACAAAGTCTTAAAGCTGTAAAATAGTTTTTGATCACACCGTACTGTCTTCTTCCCGTTTTAGATGTGCCTTGGCGTGCGCATCTTCATCATCGTCGTCCTCAGGGAGCGGCTCTTTTTCCTTGTGGACCGTCTCAACGGGTGCTCCCGGGGGCTGGTATTTTCGTCCTTTGAAGCAGAAGACTTTTTTCTTGTAGCACACCAGAATCACGATTCCAGTCACCAGGAGTGGTACTATAACAAGGACTGCCGCAAGGAGGCCCGGAACGTTAATGATTGGGGGCCTGAAAAACACAAACAGGGAGGACGGTGCTAAACTATAGGAGGCGCTGTCATAGACCATGCAAGGAAAAGTCAGAAATCTAGACCAATGTATTCTAGGATTTTTACTATTTTGGATATTTTCTTTAATTCACTCTCGTGAAAAGACATTGTCATCATGCAAATATATATATATAACTAAAAGCGACAGGAGTACTGAAAAGGTGAAGAGAATTATCAAAGATATCTCATGCAAATTTCTTCAAGCATTTGGAGTAGAATTATGAATGTACATAAATGTCCAATATCATGATACCGACAATCTTATTGCAAACAGCACGGTGAGTCTGTTTAAAAGGGTCATCATTGTTTACGTGCAGCGGGAAATAGTGGGAATTCAGAACAAACAAGTCAAGATTCACAGATTGAAGAACTTTTCACAACCTGTACTGAGTTCTTACACTTTGAGTCTTTGAGAGACAGACCTTCCAATCTGGTCATTATGTAAATGGCTGTCTGGCCTCAACCCACGCGCTCGACACGACAAGACAAATAACTTAACAACACAACGCCCATATGTGGAAGTGAGTAAAAGCCACTATACCGAAATTAGGCCGCATTCAAAACAACGGACTAACTAGTCCACGGATCAAATATGGCGACCCATTCAAAAGCTTGCCTAAAAGACACTGAATAGACCCCCCAAGGGGATAACGCAACAAGCAGTCAAGTGGGTCGGCCATATTTGATATGGGGACTAGTAAGTTCTTGTGAATGCAGCCTTACATGTTAGGACGTCTCAAAGTGTACCGGTACAGTTGCTTAACTTAACTGCACCGCTTGATGTAAAAAAGGTCTCCGTCGCCGAAAAAAAGGGGAAAAAAAATCTGGTGAACACCTAGGCATTTGATGCCTTCTGGTATCAGGGGCTTATACAAGTTAAGTATCAGGGGAACAATGATTTTGTAACAGGCTACTAGCACACTTTGTGGTCAGAGAGTAGGATTCGTGTGGGTGTGACTGAACAATCGAAGATTTTGTCAGCAAGAGCGTGTGAGCATGAAACAAAGACGTGGGGAATGGTATAATTACTAGAATTCGGGGATTATTCTAACGTTCACACCAACGAAAAAGGGGGACGTAATTATCCCTCGCGCTTGCGTTTAACAACTCGCACTAACATTCATAGTGAGAATTAAACTACTCTTTCGTAAGTTCCATACTTTATATTTATTGTTCTCATTTTTATCATAAGCTTAACTGCCTAAGTCACAATGAATTCCGTATGGTCACCATTGCCAGTGGTTGCCATACCAACCATACCGTGATAAAAAGAGTCCCGCGCTGAGATTATATATATCTAGGGTTGATATCAAACAAGAAATACAAACTAAAAGTCTCTATCTAAACTTTATCAATGAATAAAACAGTTAGTGAAGAAACAAAGGTTTAAAAGGTCACAAACAAGACAACTTCATTAACACATTTATATTGACTCCAACACTTAAAAGAAAAACAGTATTTGGCAATTGTGTATGTAAACAATAGATAATAAAATAGCAGATCCCTCAGTCCATTTTCATGTAAACTAATTATTTGTACAATTAGAAAAATATTTTTAATATACTTGATCTATGATTGGTATATACACTTGTCGACACGAAAAAATAAGCAGGATGTAAAAAGAAAACTGTAAAACATGAAAAGCAATAGGCATATCAAATAAACAGTAATTTAACTTCAGGCTTTAGATGTCACAGGAAAAGATTTCCTCTTGCCCAATTTGAAATTATATTTTTAAAAAATAATCCACAGGAAAATGAAAATAATTCTAGTCCAGCAACATAATTACTCCAAACATAATGTGCAAATTATTATGCAAACAATTTCATATCTTAAATGGAAATGAACAGATTCTAATACAGCATCACAAAAGTATTTTTTCAAACAGCTGTCTTTAAGAAATCGTATTTTATACAGTTTCATAGCCTATTAAATGCCCATTAAATTGGCCTTAAACATTGACCGTGACTGTGAATTTGATGGATGAAAAGCATTTCAAGAACACTGGTGATGACATAAGATTCATAACAGTATTGCCAGCCTACAATATATCGACTTTCACTATATCTACTTTCATTATATTTCTGTGAGAAACAGATAAGAATGATTATTATATAACCATTATTCTTGCAACTATAAAAGTTATCTTAAAAACAAACAAATGAAATGCAAACGAACCACGACTACATTTTAAGGTGTATATACATATCAAACTTCCGAGCGGAGCACAGAATACGCTCATTGACCAGTTTTTAATATCAATTAACTTCCTTTTGTACAAAACTTCGCGTAAAAGGTTATAATTTTATGTTTTGTTTACAGGTTGTACGTGCTGAGATTAACGAAATTGGTGGCTTGATCAAATCATCTTTTAAGTTGCAATCTTTGGCCACCTAACCCAACCTAAACAAATTCTTTTTAAAAAAGACAAACTGTACGAAAATATATAACATAACTATGCACAAGTTTTTCTCAAGCACAGAAAAGCTCTTATATTTTGTACTGCTTTCTGAATTAAACTATTCCTTACATCCTTACGTATAAAGAGAAAATTATTTGCTTTGGAATGTAATGATTCGAGGTCTAATCGTCGGTGGGTTTGTTGTCTTTGCTATTAGACACAGCAAAAAAATATCAATAAAAAACACGACAAATATAGCAAATAAACAAAACCCAAAGAGTGTGCACAAATACAAAGGCCTACAAGTGACAATTTTGCTAAAATCAAGCAATTTGAAACTGTTCTCCTTATTGCTATCTTGTGATTACTTTTTGATACAAATGTACATTTATGAACAGGAAAAAAAAAAACAAATTTAAACTTTGTAAACCCTGGATAAAAGATCTAATAAAAGTAATAAAATCTCCTTAAAAATACCGTAAGTTTCAACAAAGTTTAACTTTGTTATTTAGATATCTACCTGGATAAACAAATTTACATTAATTTATACATGTATAGAAGTCACTGACTCTACTGGATGTTTTTGTTTTCACTACGAAGTTTCCTGATGGTCACGAAGTTAGGTCAAAGGCCACATAGCTAAGCTGCGCATGCTCTTTAAGGTTTTGCTCTGTTGAAACAACCGGATCGTTTCCGCCACATCACAACTAGCACAATCGAGGTCACGATAACAGCTAGTCCGACAACTGCAGTGGCGATAATGGCGGCGATTTGTTGGTATGTCAAATACACCAGTCCCGGGGGCCTGGAAGGGAAAATAGGACGCTGCTATTATAACAAGTTCGCAAGGGTCTGTTTATTTTTGTTCATTTTGATTTTTCGTTTAAAAATTTGGTAGGAGTTACATTAGGCAAACCTCGGTCGACGGGGTCTGGCATTGAACTTTCTTGTTTGTTTTTTTTTTCTTAAATCTTTGCGTTAATATCTGACGCAACAATTTGAAAACTCACACATAATCTGAGTTTAGTATTTTTCTCAAAGCGACATCTCACTGAATTTCAACAAAAAATGGTGAAAGCGCAATTTTGAAGCAAAAACTGAATTTATGGCTTACATTGTTTAAATGATGATGAGTTGAATTTAATGTAATTCCTTCTTCGTGCTAAATAAAGCCAACTAAGTTAGCCTAAAAAAGTTAGACAGACCCGTGCGGACCGATAATAGCCTACTTCCCCTTACCAAAGCTGGGATATGAAATGTCAAGATAGTCACTTCTCTGGGCTTTAAAGCCTCATCTTCAAGGTGCGTTCGCATCAGATTTAACTTATTGCTGTTCGGAAGCTAATATGACCATCATGTGCAAAGGCTGAGAAACCAGAAATTCGGTTGCCGTTGCTCCCCTCTACCCCCCCCCCCCACCCCCAAAAAAGAAATTTTTGTAGAATACCACAAAAAGATCTGCAGTTCGAAAAGAAATGGGTCGTCTTTCATAATCAAATGAGTCTTTAACCAAAACATTTGCTTGGCGGTCATATCTGAATACCCAGAACAGCAATGAAGTTAATATGGATTTAACGCACCTTGATAACACAGAAAATATTTGGAAGAGCAATAAATAAAATACCATTTTACTATCAAATTCTTATTGCGTTTCTTTAAGACTGAAAAACTCTAGTTTCCTGAAACACGCACACGTGAATGAAAACAAGTTTTTATATGCAACTACACTACACTTTTTCAAACTACTTTCTCGTATTTTGTATTTGGTAGTCAAACTTCTACAATCTTGTCTGAACAACTAAAGCACTAAACGGCCTTTTTTTTTAAAAAAAAGTCTATAGGTGCGTTATCATCCGTTTCAAATCATTTCTGGATGTAAAAAGGCTGTGCAATTGAACGAACAAATAATTTTCAGTACGATTTTGTTACCACGAACTGAGCGCTTTTGTTGAAATAAGCCCATAATCACCGAGTCCCGTTTCACTATATACGATTTTTAAATTAAAAGGTGGAATTTGATTTGACTCCCAAAACACATGACATAGAACGCTTAAATTTAATTTCTCCCAGGATTAATCCTCCCTTAATTATATATACCAAAACAAACAAACGTGGGCATAATACTTCAGCCACTTCTTTATAACTGATATTACCAAGATAAACAAAAAGGTGAATTAAGACACCCATAACGATTTTCAGGGAAAGGCAAACAGAATTCATAGGCGTAGAAAATAGAATCAACGACCCGCTTTCTTTCAGGATCTGTATTACAGTAATACTGGCAGATCCGTAGCCAGGGTGGTTCGAGCGATCCGCTCTTTTTGTGAGGAATAGCTCAACTCTGGGTAAAAATTGTTCTCGGTACACGAAGGTTTTATGATAAAAGCTCCACTCTTTTAGAAAAAAGATCCCCCCCCTCGTGAAATTGCTGGCTTCGGACTGGGAAGTTGTAAGTATATTTAAGACACCGAAACAATGCCTTTGTTCAAACTTATCCATGTATTTCTGACTGAACATTTTAACTTCGCAACGACAGCTTGGCATATTATCTGAGTAACCAAACTGTGTTTTGGTTTAAATTGCTAATTGGGGAAATAAGTGCACAACGCAGTCAAACATGATATTTTCTGAAACAGGGTTTTCGATGAAGATTTCCGTATTTTCAGATAAATCGCATCGTGGCTTCGCTTAATAGTTAATTACAAGGGTTAATGTACACAAATAGTATGATAGAATGAGCAGACTTCTGTTCAAGACTTCCGGGCGTGTTTTTCATAAGAACCAAGGGTAAAAGCTGTGCAAACATAGACCCATTAACCATTTCTGTAGTTGAAATAGCAAAAAGGGAAATAGTGGAAAATTGCGACCGCTCCTGGAAATTGTAAAATGTCAGTGAAGAGGGTTTTGGTTATGGGTTGTGGTTCTCCAGGAAAAGGAGAAGCAGCGAGGCAAATGAAAAAGCACGCACCAATGAAACATGAAATTGCATTTACAACAGAGAGAGAGAGCGAGAGCATGTGTGTGTGTGTATGTTAGAGAGAGAGAGAGAGAGAGAGAGAGAGAGAGAGAAAGTTGATAGGAACGTTTTAATAAAAGAACATGACAGATAGAGAGTATAACAATATAAAAAGAAAATATACAGCTTGGTAATTGTTTTGATTTAAACGCAGGGACACAGCCAGTTCCACGATTTTAACTCTATCAGTACAAATCTGAAAAGTCTGATTTTTCGCTCCACCAAGGAGGTTATGTTTTCACCCCTGCTTGTCTGTTTGTTTGTCTGCCTGTCTGTCATCAACATAACTCAAAAAGTCATGGACCGAAATTGATGCAATTTTCAGGAACTGTCAGAAGTGGACCAAGGAAGATGGTTAGTTTTTGGTGGTGATCCGGATCAATAATCAATCAATAAACAATAATAATTAAAATTTGCTGCCTTAGCGGAGGTCTGCGCTCTCGGAGTGCTTTTCTAGTTAAATTTGTCATGCTTTAACTGTTTTTCTTTGCTCACCTGCATTGAATAAACAAACAATTGAACAAACAAAGACATTAATAGTCAAAACCATATAACAGTGAACTCACATTTCAGTGGCATACGTGCCCTCGACGTCATTGTTAGTGCAGAGAAGCTGGTTGACTTTTGAACTTGCATATTCTTCCTTACAACAATATCTGAAACGAGATAATAACATCAAATTCATTTTACTTTGCAAAAACCTTATTAGATGTGATAATTACATTCGTATTGCATATTTTGCATGGCTTGGAAACAAAAATATTCAAAGCATTTTCACGGAATTTTAAAGAATTTTAATTGGTTATTTAATAAAAAGATCAGAACATTATAATGGCCAATGATATTCCGTAGACCTAAGATTTATCTTTTAGTTTGATGGGTCCTCACTCTGGCATTTCTTGCAATGGCGAAGGAAGAAGATAATTAAAAGCCCATTCAGGGCAGCTGACTAACACATCTGCGGATCAAATGTGACGACTCACTCAAATCCTTGCCGCTCAATTCCCGTTTAGAAACTGAACAGATTGCCTGCGTGGATTACGCAACAAGCATTCAAGTGGGTCGGCCTTATTTTGATCAGAGATCCGCTAGTCTGTTGTTCGGAATGCGCCCTTATTCCTTGAATGACTGTCCCCAGTGTTGTATATAAAACAAAGACGAAAACTACTAAGGATTGAGGCCGTCTTCTGGAAGACGGTCAGATTTTCTAGTTAACATAGACGGGTATCTAATTTTTTTTCTGTCGGAAGACGGTCAAAAATAGAGGATGGATCAACAAAGATGATTTGGAAGACGGTCAGAAAATAGCTCTGGATCCGCCCCTGAAACTGACATGCCTACCTGTAGTAACACGTTCCGCAGCATTTTTGGTCTTGCGCACACCTGTCACCGTACAGTTTCTCGTTCTTTAGATTGTAGTAGTTGTAGCAGTCGCGCTGGGGATCAAATTTGATCTGAATTTGGGACGAAACTGAAAATAAAAATAAAAAGAAACATCTGCTGAGTAATGATCTTGTCAAGGCAGTAACTTCAAGAAAATGTCTACTTTTGGGCCATATGAGACATTATCAATGAAGGTTATATCGAGAGCGTTCAATCAGTGACCGAGGTCCAACGTGGAAAGAAGCTGCAGGGGTCATGTTTTTATTTTTTCAAACTAAAAAAATCCCATTTTTGTTAACAAATATTTGTTATATAGTCCACTGAAAACTGAAAGACCAATGAAAAAAATTAGTTCTTAGAAAGAAATAACCGAGGCTGATTAAAACTGGCATAGACACGAGTTGTAAAAGAAGGGGCGTGACATATAAAAGACACATTCTACATTCATATGTCACATCAACCTCCACTCCCATTGGCCTTATAACCCAGACCCCAGCTTGGTCCAACAATTTTACCAGTGTTTGTAACATTTACTATCACCGTTGATGTTCCGCCAAATGAAAAAAAAACATTTTCGAACACACACACAAAAAAACTCCTATTTTGCCAAAGGGAGTAATTAATTCATGATATGTATGTGCATAAGTAGCGTTTTGTGCTTAGTTAACCAAAACTCGTTATACTCTGCCCCGGGCGAAAGTGACGGCATTCCTACGCGAAGATACATGGGTGAAAGATGTCAAAACTGAAAATCCTGAAAACCTAGCTTGCAATTCCTCATCGCATTTAATAGCTATTTTGAAATAAAAAGAATCAAAATGGAGACTGAAAATCCTGCAATCAGGCATAATCGTGAACACTTTCACCCGTGCAGATTTATGTTCCAGAAAAAAATTGCTGAAAAGTTTAAGCAAAGTGTAAGAATAAAAAGTACTACCAGTGACGGTAGAATTACTTTTACTTATATTAGATTATAGCACGACCTGCAATACATGTATATTTATCATTTATTTATGATATGTGCACCCTTATGTTTCTGCCTGTCCTCTCTATATCAAACTCACTTCTATCGTTTACAACTGTCAATGATCTTCACAAAGTTTTCGACGAATTCTTAAGGGGACGTCAAGTGCCAGTTCAAACTAAACCTGTTCATCCCCAGAAATGCACTGCATGACGTCACGCCTAGCCCACTGCGCATGCGTGCATTTTTAATGAGTTGCTAGATTGCCATAGGAAAATGAATGGGTTCGCGATTCGTGGGTAATTCGTGAGAATTGACAAACTAACGGCCTGATGCCGATAGACAGCAACGCTGTGCTATGCTTCAAGCAACTCCTGACCAAATATCGCTAGAGTTTTTAAAAAAATTCTGTTGTACACACGTACTAAGAAGTTTGCCGTATATTGCCTAGACTACCCTCAGCAAAACGCAAATATTTTCAGTTATAGTGATTTTAGACGGTAGATTCACTCAGAAACAGAGGGAAATTGATTCGTTGCCGATAGCACCAGCTGATAGCAGTAACATACAGAGTCTGATTAAAAAATTTCATGGCAATTGAAGATTTTTTACCACTGTACAATGGAGTCCAAAAAGAGCACTTGGCACAAATGTAAAACTGTCCAGTGCAAGGCCAAGAATTCAATCAGTATATTCAATCATATTATCAGATTCTACATAAATTGACTGACCATATCACTACTCAGTATTTAACTAATCTCTTAATCCAAAATTCCTATCATCATTTAATAATTATGCAAAATTCTTCTTTAAGATTGCTATTTATTTAAATTTTTAATGCTGCAACTGTTCCAAAAAAATCTTTAAATAAAGGAAAAATGCAAATAAGAAGTGGATGACCAATTTTACCCACAGTATTCAATTATTTGAATATAAAAATAATAAGATCACGATTTAACAAATTAAAATAATCTTTCATGAACTCTTTCATGAATAACATATTAAACAAAAATGAAAGTTATAAATCAGTGTGGCTTGTTCTGGAATATATGACCTCTGTACATCATCAGTACCTGACTTGGTACAGTATAGTTACTACTTGGATACAGAGTTAAATTTAATAATGTAACAATAAGAACAATATATATTATAATAATAAACTTCTCTGCACATATCAGACGCTTGTTACCATGAACTAACACTACTTGACAATGGGCTGAGCACTTATCACAGAGTCTGTGTGCGATGCCATTCTTGTGCTGTGATTGGTTAGTTGAGTCACGTGAAGCCCTACTGTTGCGCCCTCGCGTATCGCGTAAATGCTGCACATTTCTGGCCATGTTTCAGCACTGGGACGCAAACAGGTGAAATGCAATTAAATGTCCATTTAATTCTCCACTCCTCTCTATCTATCAGAGATCAGCCAGGTAATGTGGTCGTTTTTGTGATTTAGATGCTCGCTGAATTCACGACGCAAAGATGTGCACAGGTAGTAGAGTGGATATCCAGAGAAAATAGCCTCTCTGTGACTCTTCTTCATATCAAGGACGTTTATTGTCTTATTACGTTCTTGTTCATATCAACATGTAAGTTATAATTCATCCTGTTCTGACGTTTAAAAGACAAAAATATTAAAGTTANCTTTTTCAGGTTGTTCAGTCGAGCGTGGATGAGCTCGCAGTCGTCCTACAAAATTTGTTCTGGGTATGATACTCCGAAATACGATCTGACACACACCTTGAAAACGGGTAGTGTGGCCCGATATACCGGTTAATTCAGGATCCTTAGGTGCCGAGTCTGGTAGTTGGTTAGGCCTGATTTTGTCACATTTTTTCTCTGTCGTGTTCCGATAGGGTATGTAAGTCCATCACCTGCAATATCCTATAAGAAAATGTAATCAGGTATAAAACAAGATGTCCTGTGCGTTATTTTGATGTTAAACTACTCACACAAATTAAAGTACTACATATAAAAACATAATGTTGTTTAATTCGTGTAATAAATTGACTTTTTCATGCTCACGTATGATACATGTTTTGATTTCAGCTCAATGCATTCCGCGAACTTTTTCGAGGACGTTTCACTGAAAACGAAGCTGGATATCTTGTTCAGAAATTTGATTTCGATATTAAACAGGCGGCCTCTTATGTATTCGAAAGTGAGTGGAGACAAATGCTTGTAAACGGAATGATATCTAGTCAATAATAATGTTTTTTTTTTGTTATTATCAATTTATCTATCTAAAAGTCCATAATGTTTATCATTTTGTTGATTTTTTAAAAGCAGCAAACTCTCGGATCAAAAGCACAGGCCAAGTAAAATAAACAAATTAGTTTTGAAAATGCGTTGAGTTTTAATAAACAAAATATTTCTGTTTCAGTCATATATTTGGTTTTCTGTTTTAGCAACGCCTGAGGATTTGAGACGGGAAATACAAGAAGAGGCCGCAAGCTGGGTAACTGGATAGTATTTCACAGATTAAGTTGGCAAAAGATATTTATTTCGGTTATTAATTAATGTTATTCTTATTTGATGTGCGCCTGTGTGTGTGTGTGTGTGTGTGTGTGTGTGTGTGTGCGTGCGAGAGAGAGAGAGAGAGAGAAAGCGACCTTCTTATATGCTTTACAAATATATATTTCCTGTTTATCAGCTCTATCCATCTCTTTTCTCCGTCACTTGCCTTCCTTTCACAACCGCACATTCTCTCTCTCTGTCTTTCTCTCTCTCACCCCTGCTCCCCCCTCCCTACACACGCACACTATCAAAACACATCTAAATACTTGCAGATCGAAGTTATTCCTCGGACAAGTGAGGCTAAAAAAGGACGCCTCTCTGTAGAGATAAGACAATTCGCGTGTCAAGCCTGTGACAAATCCTGGTGGAGACGAGTCCCTGCAAGAAAACTAGTAAGTTTCATACCAGTGAGATTAAACGGCCCCCTTTCGTTATGCTGGGCCTTAGAGACCATTCCCACAGATATTTGGATCGATCTATCCCCCTGGGGAGTCTCACTAGATTGCTGTCAGTTTGACCGGCTTAAATGTCTGTCCAGCCTACCAAAAGCTGTAAGGGGGTAATTAACTTTTGTGCGCGCTCGACTCCCAGAAGCTGACAGCAATTTAGCGTGAACCCCCAGGGAGTTAGGTCGATCCAGACGGATCGATCTAAATCTGTGGTAATCCAGTCTTAGCTTGCTTGTGGCCAGTCCTCTCAGATAGAAATATTAGTCTCTCTTCGTGCGTAAAGAGGCGCTATTGTACAAGACAGGTCGCAGCGGTACCTGACGCCCAGGGTTCATTTCCGACATCTCCTTTTCCGGCATTTAACGTCATTTCACAAAACAACAACCTCAAACAATACATGTTTGAGACTGGTCCTATCGTACTAATTGTGGATCGATCTATCTCCAAGGGGATTCCCGCTAAATTGCAATCAACTTTAGCGGCTTAGATGCCCATCACGCCTACTAAGGCTGCTAGGGGGTAATTTATTATCGTTTAGCAGCTTCAGTGGGCGTGCCATACATCTAAGCCGCTTAGGCTGAAAGCACTTAAGCGAGAACCCGCAGGAAATGAATCGATCCTGTAAGATAGATTTAGGTATGGTTACTCAGCCTATGAATAAAGTAATGATACAGCAATGAAAAAAAAAGAAAAAAAATGATTTTAACTATAACCCATCAGAATCGATCTTGTATTATTTCTCAAATGACATTATTTTGTAGGTTTCAAAGTGTTATGGCTGTAGAGTAAAATTCGATGCTATACCAAGAGATCGAGAGTGGGGCTATGCAGAATTTCATTGCAATGAGTGTGGGCATGATTTTAGGTGAGTCTTATTCTTTAAAACTGAAACATTTTCCAGAGTATGGCTGCCTTTAATTTTCCCTCTGTCTCTCTCTCTCTGTCAGCTACTTTGCACCAACAGTCTAAGACTGGGGTCCCATACCTAAATCGATTTAGCAGGATTTCCGAGAGGTTTTTCGCTTAATTGCGTTCGAATTGCAAACCTTCATATTAATAGTAATTATTTATACATCAAAAAGTGGAAGATATAGCACAGTTTCTTTTGTCAAAAGCGAGGTTAAGGAATTAATTATAACCTGCTTAGATGTCTGGCACTACTACTGAAGCTGCTGAACGATGATTAATTACCCCAGCAGCTTCAATAGGCGTGACAGAAATCTAAACCGTATCTCCTGGGAGACAGGTCAATCCACAGTTATTACGACAGTATGTGCAGGCAGCGAACGACCTTTCACTCATATGCTGCTCCTTTATGCTCTTTATTCTTTTGTATTTATTTATCTATACATGCGTTTATGTATCCCACCCACGTATGTAGCCGGGGAGGGGGGGGGGGGGAGAGAGGTGGCTTCGAAAGAAAGGTCCATTCTGGGTAATATTTGATCTAGGTACACAAAGGTTTCATTGTAACAGGTCCATTTTTTTTTTTTTTTTAAACCCTTTTCGAAATTGCTGGCTACGGGCCTGTCGGTATCAAAGTGAA